TTTTTTAACATTAAACCTTTGGGTTTCCCTAAAAAAATGCAAAAAAACCAACAAAAAAAACAGACAATTTTTTTTTAGGAACGCCTATAGACTTTATGATTTGGGTTCCCTGACAAATTTCAAACCATTTAGATTGGTTAAGGAGACATTTCCTAGAATCAATAAAAAGGATATTCAATATAATACTATCAGAAGGCTCGAAACAATTGTTTCGCCAGTAAACCGAACACAGACAAAAAACCTGGGACAATAATGAAAAGAATCCCAGTAAAATGGATATCTATGCCGTGCATAGATAATTCAGATAAAAGAACATAAAGGTCAGATCAGAAATGAATCCGATGACCTTTTATTATTAAATATGTCAAAGCATTATCAAATTGGAGACCAGAAATATATAAATATTATCGTTTTATACAACCCCACTGCTAAAAAACCACAGAACTCAGTTTTGTTATAATTTATATTTTAACGAATTAATACACGAAAACACAGACAAGACACGATAAAAAATAATGGATTATACAAATAATGACTGTCAAAGTGAAAAAAAATACCTCCGCTAGTGGGCCAAATACGTTCCATTCCTCCCCCGTTGCCTTCAAATTTAACCGAAAGTCACTGACATTGCGACCTGACAGTAAAATCACGTTAGATTGAAATCTGTAATAAACGATATAATCAGCAACTTTTAATTGTTTCAGCATGTCACTGGTCATACAGTGTTAAGTATGTTAGCGCACTGACTCCTCGGTGCGATAATTGTGTAATGCAATATAGCGTGAAACGTTAGGTCCGAGAGAGAACACCGGAGTAATGACACTCTTTGATGCGGCGGACACCTTGACCGGGCCCCCAAAAAAAAACTTTTGTTAAATAACGAAAAGGCAATAACCCCAAAAAAAAAAAAAAAAAAATGCGGGTAAAAGCCCCAATGAAAAAAGGGAAATTATTACGGAGGGAAACCCGTGTCAGTGATTTTTGTCCATCAGCGACTTAATATCTTAATACGTAAATGTAGGTGAAAAAATCCGCTAAAGTTTGCGTTACTAATTTTTAGAAAAAATAGAAAAAATGAGCACGTCCCCAGATATATATAGTATGTTTATTTCCAAAGTTTGATGACAAAAAAATAAAAAGTGACTTTGTAGAAACGATTAAAATTTAGGATTTATTCAAAATCAAAATCATTATAAAGCAGGTTCCAAAATATTATTTATGTGATCCCGAACATTAATGCACCAAGATAAATACAATAAAATTATACTTAAATAAATTGTTTAACATGACATTTATGTGATACGCACAGAAAGTCGTTGTCACCTACACTAACATGTTTTATCTTGTATTAACTTAAACACATCTAATACTTAAAAGATAACGGATGTAACGAATTATATAACTGACTACGTGCAGCATACAATACAAAAGAAAGTTAACCAAACAAATATAATAAATTTAATATATCATGTCAACTACAATGACAAAGAACGTCGCAAATGTATTATATTTGAATTGACTAGAAGAAAAAACGATACATACCACAATTGTAGAATAAAACCTAATCATATCACATGCCTATCCTTATTAAAAATGTTTGTTATTGTAAATTCTTTGCATGGCGGAGGCCTTACAGCACAAAAATTTTGTGTTGGATGATATGCCGTGCAGCATACATCAAGCATACAATAATGCTCCGAAGAAGGCATTGTTATAGGACATATACCACTGGTGGCTGTCATAAACATACTAATCAAACCGATCCTGAACTTCATTTGCGGTGATGTTCCTTTGCCACATAAGTTACATTAAAATTAAAGGAAATAATACACGTACCACACGTTACAGCAAGTTATATCAATAAACATAACCCATCAAATCCACACGTTGAGAACTGATAAAAAGGAATAAAACACGTTAAGAGTATTGCAAATGTAAACTCAACTGCATTTATAACGAAGAAGTATATAAATAGAAATCAATAGATATAAAAAAATAAGATATTTCCTTTGTTTGCGTAGGATAAATGTGCATTGCCTCTATTATAATGCGTAAATATGACACAACCTCCTCAAAATTAAATTAAATATAAAAATATGCATAAGGCCGCTTTTTTTATTAAGTGACACTTCGCTTTTTATTCCGTAAACACCAACCATACTGTGTACTACGGATAGTTTAACATTTAACACAAATAGTTAATTTGAAAATGCAAAATGTTAATAAGAACCTACATTAACATCAGAAAGCTGTTTATGTCTAAGCTCACATACAGTTTTTTCAGGTACTAATTTACATATTAATATCATGGTCTATAACCATTAGATCACTGTGTGTTGTTTATTGTCTAATATAATATAGCGTACAGTAAAGCCCACAACAAATCAAACAGCCCCAGAAATTCTGAAACCATACATATGCTAGTCAAAAATGATGTAAGGTTCATATTTAAGTGCACTATGAGTTTAATCCCCTCCAACCGCACAACGAAAGTTTTCAGGGCAGCTACTTTTCAGCTGGGTACGTCGTCGGCGGCCTTTGCAACTACTTTGCATTCGTAATGACCTTCGTACATAAATGACCTGGACCCTTTATGCAATTGGTGAATTTGCTGAATTTTACTAGCAATTACGAAACTTTGCTATAAATAAAGAGTGTTTTCAAAAGCCCTTTAAACAAATTAGAAAGTATTTGAATCGATTGATTGACAAAAATCATTAAATTGGATCAAAGACATGTAGCAACATCATCATAAAGCCCAGAATATGTCTTTGATTACAAAATGAGCATTTAAGGCCTCTCTATCTTGTATGAACATTGATACCAACTGGTTATCAAGTGATTATGATTTATAATTTGTATTGACCGTACCGTGCCAAGGGGCGTGGACGGAGTTTGCACTGACAATACCGTCCATGAACCAGCCAGTCAAAACGAGCCGCAATAATTCAATTTTGCCGTTGGTTGCTTAGGAAAGATTTCTCTGTTTTTCCGGTTTTTGCTTAGCCAAAGTAACATTCAAGGCCAAACATTCAATAGTGGACTCTGACCATTGACAGACATTCACTTAGTGTTTTTTTGACTTTGATAGTAAGGAAAGTTTTTGCCTCTGTTGCAGTGATTCTCGATTTAGGAATCTCGATTAGTTGTCATTAAATACATCTCCTTAGACAACAATATGACAATCAACAAGTTTCAAAATTCCGAATTTATTTATAAACGTTATAGACCTAGTTTATAGTTCACAGGCGTCATTTTTACTTTCGTTACACGGTTTAAAACAAATATTCAAAGTTACAAAAAGCAAAATAGCTTTAATTCAGCAACAAATGTATTCATACTGCGGGATCAAGGAAATTATCGGTAAAGAAGACGGCATGTCTCCTTTCTGTTTTTTTTAATTAACACTGAAGGAGAATTGACAAACAAGATTAGTTTTTCAAAACACGAGTTAAAATTTTGATTCCTTACCAATTTCAAATGGCAAAGTCACAAGGCACATGCTTTGCCATTTAACAAATTAAAAACTTACAACTATGTTAAACCAACAACGGATTCAATTACCTGATTATGGAAAAATCAATACTAACGTTACTAAAAAATCATTTATGCACTAACAGTAATATAAAAGACAGGAATGATTCGGTCGTTTCCTAATCGGACTAGTTTTATTGTATTTCAACTGTCACAACAACAATAAAATTAAACCATATACCCAAAAAGTAACGTAAAATAACATAACAAAAGTGCAAATTAACGATAACAAAATACAGAGTGCACGAAGTTTACTGTAATCATGGCCACAAATTATATCCAAATAATAATTGAAGGCCAAAGAAGGTAAATATTAGTTTACAATTTGGGGTTTTTTCTTTCACTAAATTCCTGTTGAACTTTCCATTTGTCAGAACTATTTAGCGACATGTTGTAATATTGTGAAACAGGCAGATTTAGATAACATATATTCCTACTGAATTATTTAACATAATACATGTACTGAATAATAATTTTCTCCCCTTTTGGTTATCCTGGAAAAAATGAGAATGTCTATATTTAAGTTTGATTCGCAAAACTTTCGATATATAATAATAATAGTTATTATTATCATTTGCTTCTTCTTTATCTCTTATAAAATATGCTAGAAACTGTTAAGAATAACTCAACTTACCTAAGAAAATAGCCACAACAATCATCTCTGCTTAGTTTTGTTCTTGCCGTCTAAGTCAAAATCAAATCGAGATAAAAAATAAAAACTTAATTTATTTGTCATATCCGGGTTGATACCGGAAGTTTGTTCTTATTTACATAAACCTAGTCATAGATTCCTGCGTATCAGACAGTGCACATACTAAGGGATTGTCTCTTAATCGTTGTGGTTTCTTTTTGAGTTTCTTATTGTTTGGGTTTATAATAATTAATGACGCAATATTATAGAGATGCGACAATGCAAACAAATATTACGAAACACGTGTACTTTTCATCTGTTAAGGCATAATGATATAGTTAAGTAATATATATCATTTTTAGTACGCTAGCTGTAGCAGAATGATGCAAGGTTTGATTTCAAATGAATGGGAATATATAAATACAAACAAAGGCTCTAATTAAAAAACATATAAAGGTATTTGAACGTATTATACTAACTTGCAAGACCAAATAAAAACATATATTTCCATTCTAACTTGCTGATAAAGAGAAAAATTGATTAAATTCGTCAAACTTATTGAGCGGAGACTTATTATTCCTACCGTCATTTGTTTTATTGACGTTACATCCAGCGTTAAATGTGATATAAGCATTCTAATATAAATGCCGTGAATACGTAATGAAGAAACATTGTCTTGTGACAAAAGTTTCTAATGTTAATTAAAAATAACATCCACGCAGCCTGATCAGGATCCATGCTGTTCGCTATCAGTTTCTCTACTTGTGGTAGAGTTGGAAAGCGAACAGCATGGATCCTGATCAGGCTGCGCTGATGCGCAGGCTGGTCTGAATCCATGCTGGTCGCAAACCCATTATATTGGTTTTGTCATGACACGGCTCATTTAATTATTATATTGTTAGTTACAATTATATACAAATGTAGTTAATATTGTATTGTGTTTTATTTGAGTTTATGTATTGATATTTTTTAACCTAGCTTGACTGAAACAAAAAGCCACAAAATGTAGAAATATAATGATTCATGTTTGCTTAACAAATTCCATTGCGTGAGACCTATCAAAGGTGAATTTTACTAAGAAGTTTTGACAACAACAGAACATGCATATAATGCATTTATAAAGTAATGCTTAGACTCACAGATATGTCATCTGGTAAATGATATCAAATATGTTGTCATGTAATGTCTACAAATAAGCTGTATTATTATCATTATTATGTTATTTGCAATATTTGACCAATTTTTTAACAACAGTTTATTTATATGTTTGACATTTAAAAACATTAACAGTGAAGAAAAATATGCATATTTTGAAGACATTCACCTAGCAGATGTCCAACTACTGGGCCGTCTAGTGGCAGGATAACGTGTAACCGGCTTTGAGGTTGTCCTTGGTTTTGAAGTTGGTCGAGGGGTGAGCGTTGTATGTCTTTGGGTTGAGCTGCATAAATGAAATTTATTCATTAAGTTTTGTTTGTAATTTTAGATTAATAGATCGTCAATAACTGAATAAGAACACACCATTCATTAGAATAAGAACACACCGCTCATTCATTAGAATAAGAACATACCGCTAATTAGAATAAGAACATACCGCTCATTAGAATAAGAACACACCGTTCATTAGAATAAGAACACACCGTTCATTAGAATAAGAACACACCGCTCATTAGAATAAGAACACACCGCTCATTAGAATAAGAACACACCGCTCATTAGAATAAGAACACACCGTTCATTAGAATAAGAACACACCGCTCATTAGAATAAGAACACACCGTTCATTAGAATAAGAACACACCGCTCATTAGAATAAGAACACACCGTTCATTAGAATAAGAACACACCGCTCATTAGAAAAAGAACACACCGTTCATTAGAGTATATAGTTGATAAAGTAAAGACACATTGATATTGTTTGTATAGCATTTGGTCCGTTTTATGTTTATCTTTTTTTTCCTGTGATACGACGATGTTTATCGGTGATGTTAAACATTTGATAATTCAAACGTGTTTAGGCTAGGTAACTAAGATATTTTACTATAATATTTATAAAAGCATAAAGCCATTTTACCATTTATAAATTACATAATCTTAAAGATAAATGTATTGCTATCGTAAAACATTGACTAATATTGCTATCGTAGAACATTGACTAATTATTGTTAAATTATCATTTATGTAAAAGCAATTCTTCAGTGTTAAATGTGTTAAAGAAACCCACTTACAATATATCAGAAATGCAGGAATACCTGCTACAGAATGTCCCTGGAGGACAGCAGCCAAGAGCCCCACAGCAAGTATGACCACTCTTACAATATCTGATTAAACAGCAAACGCTACCCCGGGCATGCAGCCATTACCGCAGCAATCTTGCTCCTTCGTGCAGTAATGTTTGCTATATATTGATGAAAATATGGAAGCTGTAAAAAATAAATTCTTAACTTATTGATTACTGAAGTCATTACTGGATTACTTTTCCAAAAATCAATTTTTATGATTTACTTTAAAAAATGTTAAAATATTGATTTAACAGTATAAATAAAAAGGTAAATTAAGAACAAAATTGGACTATGAAATGTTGTTCATTCTATATGACCTTCGTAAAGTTACCAGCCTGTCTGGCCAAAGAAAGTCGGAAACGTCCATTAAAAGCAATATAATTACTTCCTAACGACATAAGAAGCATATTTGATAAAATATCTCTGGGGTGCGAAGAATATGTATAAGCTTTATGGCAGCTGAGCAGCCGCAAGTTGACAGTCCTGAAAGCGGTCGGAAATGCAACTTTAACAGCTTTGAGCAATATCTAAATTTTGTTGTTTACCGGTAAATATTGATATTATTTTTTTAAGATTAGTGTAAACTTGCAATATTTGTAAAACTGTTATATTTTTCAGTGAATTTAAAATCTACCAAAAGCAATAAAGAAAATATGAATGTTATACTTAAAGGTTTTCATTATTAAAATAAATCTTTAATTGTTTAAATTGTTTATTAAGCTATATCTTATAAAAGGGTTTCACACATTTAGCAGTGAATTATTATATGCACCATTTACCTTAAAGACAGTGTACATGTATACCAGCGTGCTTGTTTGTCTATCCAACCAACTGAATGTATATGCGTCAAACTTATACTATAGATAGATATATGTATGATGTATGTGAAGATGACAATATAAACTTACTACATTTAATATATTCCGAACTCCCGTAGCACTTGCCATCATCACCACATATTTGAGATGCTGAAATGTGAAATATACATGAAATTGTTTACGATTTTACATTGCGGAATATTTACCAAATATCATAGATTCATGCACAATCGATAAAGTATAGGCTATTTCAGCTTATATCTGATTACCTGAGAAAATATCTACAAGAATTAATCGTGCTGGCATTTAATTTTTGATTTGTGTTGACAATTTATTAAGTAAAGATAAAGACCAAAGATAACAGAAATTGATTAAAGAAGACATGCAGCTATAAGATAAAAGTCAAAGTCTCTTAAAATAGCAGCTAAGGTAATAAAAACATCAAAGTAACTCACAAGTACATCTATTTCCGCACACGTCTGCTCCAACTTTGGTCAATACTGCTAGAATAAAAACATACACGGCATAAGTTTTATAAAAACAAACATTTCTTTGTGTATAACGTAAATATTTTAAGTTACCAAATCAATAAGAAAAAGAAACTCTAGATACAAGATTTTTTTAATTTTTTAAGTATTTTTATAAGTAATTCAATCTTTACACATTGAGTTCATCTTCATAATATTTTCAAAAAAAAAAACATCTGCAAAAAAACTGTGAGGAGATGTTTCTAAATATTAGCTGTTCAATAAATAGTGTCAAATCCGTGGAGATGTTAAATTTAATATAAGCTACACTAAAATTAATATACCTGTACATGTACTTTGAATTCATATCAAACAATAAATTTATTTCAAATGTATAGTGTTGAATCATTAGGCTCATATTGCGTCCGAAGAAAGAAAAAACACTACTTATTACAAATAGGAAAAGCAGCTATTACGTTTATTTGCTTTTAAACTTTGATTTGGAAAATATCTAATATACATCAATACATTAACTTTTCAATGAACTGTAGTGTAGTACCTTTGTTCTTAGTTAAAATCTCTACTGAGACCAAGATGAATATTAACCAATTTTAACTGCCGCATAAATCAGGGGACTCATAACGCATGGTCACGTTTCTTTCTTTAACTTAACACATTCATTCTTCAAATATATTTCGAAATATTATCCGCTAAATTGTGCTTTGTTAATCACTCTTTAAAAAAAAGAAAAAAAGGAAAAAAAAGACATAACGAAAAGACCACTACACGTTTGGCATATATACGGCGACATTCTTCATACATGTAAAATGATACCAAGTAAACAACTTTTATTTTCCAGTTCAAGGACAAGGACAGTTTTTACGAAGTTTTAGATTAAGACATAGGCTGCTGTGTGTATCTAGTTATTGCAAGTCCGATTCGTGCCACTCAACGATAATAACACCATGATAGGAATCATGGCCTTAAATAAAAAAGGGGCTTGCAACGATCATGCTAGGCTTGAAGAATACAATCTTGACAACTGAGCAATCACTTGTTAGTTGTATCAATACAACCGGTAACAATAAGGTTAAATGCCACATTGTTTTAAGACACGAAATATAGAGAACAATTTTATAACTTCCAAGCACTTAAAACCGACGTACCAACATTGGTTCAGAGTTGAACTCTGTATTGATTGAGTTATATGTGAAAAAGTTATATGGAATAGTTTAGATATGACAATTCTTTTCTCTGAGACAATCGCTTGGTCTTGATTGTTGTGTTCCCGGTGATCCCAAAGTCGGCAACATGTTCTGTTGTATTTGCATATTTGTGTTAAAGGGACTCAACTGAGGTTTTTGGCAATATTGTTTTTAGAATTGTGCATCATTTGATGTAGACCTGCATTAAGAACTTTTCAAACCACTCCCTAATTTTGTTTTCTCAAAATAATTATCTTCAATGTGCAAAATGACCAGAAAATAAAAAAAAATGTTTCAACGCTTTTAATTTTAATTCAAAGAGGGCTAGAATCGATTGTCCGGTCAACTTTTGTGTAATGCCTTTATTATTTTACGCAGATATTTACATTTTAAGTGCACCACTTGAGCTGTGCAAAAATTTCAAATCTTTAGGATTTTTAAACTCAATGAGCTCCTTTAAGAATTTTAAATGCTCATAAGACTTTTTTCTTTGCGCATTAGGGAGACTTTTTCTACAAATTTTTTTTGTAAAATTACTAAATGAAAATTAAACGATATATATCATTTACATTAATTTTGTATTTTAAAGTCAGTACCCTTTGTAGAAAAAGTATATATATATTAAAGGTAGTATCAGAATAAAAGTTTCTGGTAAAGTTCAAAAAGCAAATTTTCGGTTACTGTTTTGTTAAGTATAAGAAAACATTTCCTCTACAGTTTCCAAAACGGGTATAAAGTATGTTTATCAAACAATTTTAAGTCCAGAGTTTACATAAACAATGTTTATATCATTTGATTGGAATAAACACTATATACTGTTATATACTGTTATATACTGTTTATTGGAATAAACAGCATATAAAGCTGCATGCCTCCAACCACAATATTAGAAAAAAATCAAACTTGAGGTAAAATTTGTGCCATTTGCGCCAAAAATCTCCGTTGCGTTATTTAGTCATACCGGTTCAATACACGGTTCTCTCGGTCATATAATAGTGCATGGTGATATTGTAGCTATACTGTTCACTGTTACTATTTATCGGAACATATAATAGTAAAACGTTATTCAGAAAACAATACGGTAATCGATTTATACAGTTTAAAAGATTAAATGGAATGAAACATTCACGTAGTGCTAAGTAACGTAAATGTACTAAATGATATTTTCCGATTTTTCTATGTACCGATTTGTCCACTTCGATGTAAATTTTCCGTTTAAGTTAAGCCGTATTTTGAAACGGGGCATGCGCAAAACAATTTTTTAGACTGTTCCTAATGATTTTACGCTTAAAATGAGATTCATTCGCTACAATCAGATACGCAAAAATGGTTGCCGCCAGCAATCAGTCTGAACACTATGGAGAGGTCTGATGACCTCTCCAATAAAGCGCCCAACTGATGACATAATGCTCGATTGGAGTAACAAGCGTTTGATGAAAACAATATCTCTAAAAGCATGGTTTTCTGCTTGCTCATTCACATTGATAAAGTCCTATCAAATTTGGCAATATTAGTTATTTACATCACAGTACATTATAATCAGATCTATTATAATTATACTATTAAACTGAAAATGGTTCCCTCTCGACGTCATTTACACCAAATGTCAGTGGCAAATGTGACGTTGTTCATCCAAGGTTACAGCATGGTAGTATCACCTACGCCAGCCATCCATCTAAAACATGTTTATTCTTCTAAGTTATCGTTGAAGTAAATGTTGAAAGAAAATTCAAAAGAAAAATCATGAAGCTTTATTTACCTGCTTAGTTATGTTCAATTTTTATGAGACAATTAGAGTATGTTACCGAAAAAGGCAATTGGATCTCCGTTGTAGAGTGGTTATGGATGCACCTCACTGTTGTCTGAACGATTTTCATCCACACAATCCAGGCACACAAACCAAAGTAAAAGTTCCTGTGTTTCGTCCAACAAAAATACAAACTAGGGATGGGCAAAAGAGGAGATCGTTTATCAATAATTACAAATAAAAAGCAAGTCAAGTAATTCTAATTTAGATATGAACCTAAAAAGGTGTCTTTTAAAGAATTGGGTCGGAAATGAAGAAATGCATTTAACATAACATATCAATATTAAACTAATTTATTACTTTTTTATAAGTGAGCACTTATTTACGCTTTATGTCAATTTATTCTTGCTATGCAGTTATTTTACTTACATTTCCAGTGTTTTACTATTAATTATGTGATATTCACATAAAGCCTGTTGATTTCAGTTTCAAACATTTCCATTTTAATTTCGGTACATCATGTTAGCAGGAACATTATATCTAACCTTAGCCTTAATATTAGGGGCGTCCGTGACTGAGTGGTTATGGTTGTTGACTATCAAACAATTGACCCTCCCCGCAATGTCAGGACCAGACAGGGATTTTAAAATCTTTCATGTAAGGAAGCTATTCAGCTAGGTTGAGGAACGTCAGCGGCTCTACTTATAAACCCGTTCATACTTGTTATCATGCACGAAGGAGCACCTGAGGTATTCCTCCACCAGTAAAGTTACTACCTATACTGTGTTGATATAAAAATGACTATTTTTTATCTGATACTAACAAGGTCTCTCAACTGCAACCTTTTCTAGTTTGTCGTCAACGGACTGTGTGGTCAAATAACACATTTATATTGTAAAATATGGTTTTATTTATAAAAAAATAACTATCTTTAATAAACAACATAGTAAAAAATATAAAATAAACATCTTAAAAATATAAACATATTTAACGTGTACAAACAAAACATGTTGAAATACATATAACAAAATGACAACTGTCTAACAGGTCACCAAAAATAAATATAAAAGGTTCAGTGGCACTTGTCAGAACTTTATAAAACTAGCGTAATAAAAATTACAAGAGTTATACATTTACCATAAAAAAATAATTTCAAAACACATTGTCTAAAAATATTCTTCAATGTTTAAACGTTATGTTTTATAGACTGTTTCGTATCAAAGGCACTGAACAACACATACACACGCACGCACACACGCACGAACGCACGCACGCACGCACACACACATAACTGAAAACAGAAGTCACGATTAAATTGAGTCTGTTTAAGATAGATTCTGGAAAGTACAACATCTCATGCTCATAAGCATATTTTTATCTGTACAGATGACATGGAAATCCAGATGCTCTGTCAAGTTTTATCTTAGACACGAATGTGAGTAAGTTGTTGGCCGGATAGGTATGCCATATATATACAACAATCGGAAGAACAGGACTCTTACCACTAATTATACTTATATTTGTTTATTTTCATCTTATATTTTTAACACAAGGATTCCAATCGTTTTCACCCTAATCAGCTAATTTATCACGATTTCACATGTGACATGTCTCTGCAACAATTTCTTTGAAGCTCCTAATTACGCATTATTACTTGGTTCTTCGTAATCATGAAAAACCGAAGTGCATGTCTGGTTACAATGAAAATACTTGTTTTGTTTTGTTGTTGACTTGTGTCGATGGTGTTGCAACCGGTTTAGTTTCAACTGGCTTTGTTGCGATGTTAGCCGCATTAAGCTGTTGAGGAGGAATATTTGTATATGCTGGTGGAACACCATGGCTTGTCCCATGGGTAAGTTTATTTGTATATGCTGGAGGAACACCATGGCTTGTCCCATTGGGAGGTGTATTTGTATATGCTGGTGGAACACCATTGCTTGTCCCATTGAGAGGTCTATTTGTATATGCTGGAGGAACACCATGGCTTGTCCCATTGGGAGGTGTATTTGTATATGCTGGAGAAACACCATGGCTTGTCCCATTGTTTATTACAGCCTGTCCATAAACTTGGGCAGGGGCAGTCAATATCATTCCAGGCGGAGCTTGCGCTGTAAGTAAAACATACAGTATAAAGTAACAAAAAACCTCCTTTAGAAATAATAAAGTCAACAATTTAAATTCGTAATATTGAATCGATTTGATTAAATATTAAAATATTTAAGTTACCGTTTGATCTGTTACGGTGACTTCTCCGTATGAGGCATACAACAGTAATCGTCACAGCTATCGCAACAAGCACACTGGTCACAATCGATGCATATTGCCAGGGTTTTAACGCACTGAAAAACACATAGTTTTGATATTACACACTTTAGTAAAAATAAAAGCACTTGATATCAAAAAGTTGTTATCACTTCATATGTATATACATATCTATAAAGGGACTACACTGGGTATTTTAATTGACATGGCAGACCTGGGAATACGTTTTCGAGATTAATATTTTTTTTGATGTATGTGTAGTCCAATAACTTGTGTGCAGAATTTCAGATCATTTGCTCGTTTCCGAATAATCATTATAGTTGTGAAAAATGATCCAAAATCTGGCTAAGAATGGCACAAAAGTACAATTTTCAAATTATTTCCTTAGAATCTTCTGTACATCTTTTTGTTTTAGTGCCAAAGTTGATCTATGTAATGTATAATTAGCTTTAATTACATACATTTTTAAAAAGGATGTTTTACTCACCTTGCCGATGGTTTCATTGTAATTATATAGGGTCGTCTTGTAGGATATAATGTTACTGGCTTATAAGTCGTTGGGTAGTCTGGTTTTGAAGTAGTCCATGGGTTAAAAGTAGTCCACGGTTTTAAAGTAGTCCTAAATAAAGTTGTTCGAGGTGAAGCCGTTGAAGGTTTCTGTGTTGAACTGCAAATAAAGATTAAATAAAGGCATTAATTGTGTTTTAATTTAAAATGTAAGAGCATTTTCGCTTTCAAATTGAATTCAATATAGTTAAGCAAACGAAGTGGTAACTGGAAATAGCCTCATATCATATTCTTTTAACTATCGGCCTGACCCGTTTGTATGTAAAGTTTCTCAAATGATATTATGATGTGAATGTGTTTATCAAATATTGAAGAATATTTAAACTTGAATTAGATGATACCCATATTTTATTTTTTTAGATGCCATTTATAGAAGAATTTTAACATTACCTCTAACTTTGGAGACAAATTAAAAAGCACACTAACAATAAATCATATAAACTTTACAAGCCCATGACATTGTTATAAAGTTAGCGTGTTGCCAGCTTAAAAATATCTTGTTTAAAGGTTTACGTAAGTTACATAAATAACTTCGGCTGTATTGAGCGTTGACAACTTGAAAAATCGTCGTTTAAATGACCTTTTTTATATTACACATAAGTAAAAAAGAAATAATGGGCTTTATTTCATTGAAAACTATGATATAATATATGTAATTAAAGACATTTATAATCATTGTAAAGTTATTCAACAATCAAAGTAAGGAATTCCTAGTAATAAAGCCACTTACAAGATGTCGGGAATACATTTTAACCCACTACATTTATAATCATTGTAAAGTTATTCAACAATCAAAGTAAGGAATTCCTAGTAATAAAGCCACTTACAAGATGTCGGGAATACATTTTAACCCACTACAGAATGTTCCAGATGGACAGCAGCCGATCACTGAACAACATGTATGATTACTTGCACAATAAATGTTATAACAGCAAACGCTGCCGGCGGGCATACAGCCATCACTGCAACATGCTTGGTCCTTCTTGCAGTAGTAAGAGGTAAATATTGATGTAAACGAAGCTGTGAAAAAATGAAATATTAATTAACAAGAAGTATCTTTAAAAAGATACTCGGCCGAAGTCAAACATGTTATCTTGCATAGGATAAACTACTACTTACCATGCTTACCGCAAACAGAAAATTTTATTCGTCCTTAATAGTTTTATTTCAGTTTTTTTTTTCATTTTTTTTTTCACCCGCAATGTTTTTCACCATTAATTGTCATCTTAGATTTAAAGAATTTTAACTTACATTATTTGATTTTAATCGAATTTGAATTTGATTTGAATAGGAATTTATAATAAAACAAAAATTGAGTAGATACTGTACACTAATTCCACGGAGAATATTGCAACTGTAAATTAGTCTAAAATTCGTTTCAATCGTCTTATGCCCGGTTATGCCCGAATATAATGACTATAAATGAAAAAGTATCAAAAAGGCGATTTGTCATATTTAGTTTCATATATTTATTGAAAAGCTGTAAGAAACATCTAGATAATATAATTATTGTGTTTTTATATTTATTCTGACTTCTATCTTTTTCCATCGCGCAATCGAACAGATCTCTACCTATAACGGAAGCTCTTCTTAAGTATCATTCGAACAGGCTATTAGTGTTAAAATGACCAATGAAACTTATGCCTATATTCATTTCTTTACTGTTAATTTTAGCGGAAATAAAGGTGAAATCAGACAGCCTTCGGCCGAAAAAGACTTTGAACGCCGCCTTTCCTTGTTGATCTTGTTTATCATATTTAATAAATGTCATTTCAAATCGTACAACTTTGTTATTTTACATTTAAAATTATTAGTGTTTGGCAATTTTTGTTATTTTTGAAATTTTACTCACTGCATGTTATAAGATCTGATTTATCGAAACATATTCCATCATCTTCACCACATACTTGAGATGCTGAAATAAATCAATTACGGCTATATAAATATCTTTTAACAACTCTGCTATGTGAATTAATACATATTTGTTGTAGACAAACTATGTAAGAAAATTGGTTAAAAATCAAAAATTGCATGATTTTGTTTCATAATAAATCATTTATATTTTTCAATTTCGTCTGCGGGGCAGTTCTTCCGCTTTGCTCAATAGATAGAGCATCGATATAGGTGCCCAGGGTGTCACTGACTTTATCCTCTCCGTGACAATTAATCTATCTCGGACATTAATTCATAAATAATTAAGAATTTAGTAGTCGGTCACTTGCCGAGAAATTCGCGGTTTTTGTGTGGTTATCAACAGAGGCATTGCCGCCGACATGATTACCTAAATATGTATAAAAGTCAGGTTTTTAAAAAAAAAAGAGAAATAAAAACAAAGACTTCAAAAAACATTAGAATATACGACAAAATGTAATAATTGTTATTGTTTCTTGTAATATTTTATTCACGTGTACCTGTTTTTAAACAATGAAGTAAAAATGTAGATGGATATTGTCTAAAAAATATGGCATGCAAGACTAAATGACTGATTTATTGATGCTGTTTTCAACTTTAAATTACAGAAAACATTAAGAATAATACATCACACAGTTGAGCCGAGTAGCAAAAGAAATAATTAAGTGCGCGCATGAAGTTCGATTCTAATATAAATTGAACTATATACAACTGGAATATGATATTTAGCATCAAATAGAGAATTTTGCAAAACAACTTACATGTACATCTGTCTCCACACTCATCAGCCCCAACTGTCGCCAGAAATACTACAATAAATACATAATATAACAATATATGTGATTGTAATATATACCCTAGCTTTGCATACATCTTTTGAATAACTAAAATATTAATTAGTCTTTTTCAGTAAAAAAACTACTGTTAAAAGAAAGTAAGAGAAAAAATATAAAAACAAAACTAAAAAATAAGGACAGAATAACCCCCCCCCCCCGCCCCCCATCCAAGAGAGGATCTGGACTGTATTTTGTATTTATTCTGATTTTCATTTGGTTGATATACCTATGGATAAAACAAGTTTAAGGACTCGTTTAAAGATTAAATTATTCTATAATATTTCGTTAGTAACTGGGGAGGATTAGTGCTAAATTACTATATTTTAACATAAGTTGAAAGAAACATACAAATTACAAGTTTAAAAACAATGATTATCAATATTCATAGATTTCTTAAATTATAGTATAAACTCCGTTTTAAGTAAACACGTGTAAGATTTATTTTAATCTACGGATGTGAACACTTTTAAACCAAACAAAATGGAAAATCAAATATAAATAAATCAATCTACGCATCACTGAACTCTTGTAAAACGTAAACAGTTTGCCATTACACGCATAAAGTCATGTTTATTTATAACCCTGAGGATAATTGTTCATTGAATCTTTCGCAATATTGACCTGAGACATTTGAATATTCAATGACCTTTTGCCGGTACTTAACGGATTGCGCCACACGGATTTTTAATATTATTTATATTCTAGCCTCAGTAAAAAGTTGAAAGACTTTCAGTTTAAAATTAAAGGTTGTGGGTTCGAATCATTATAATGATTTTTTTTATATTCTATAATAATTCTTTATAATATTTTGCTGAACTTGACTATTATGTTTTTATGCGAATCACCCATTGTCCGACTTTACATATTGGAATAAACTGAGAAAGTATATTAATATTTATCAAAATTATGAAATTAAATCAAATCCGTTATAAATTAAATGCATAATTTATCAACTCGTGGTATATAATTTGGATAAAGAAATAAATATGGTTATGAAATATACAAACAAAATGATAATAATAATGAAAAAAATCGAACTTAAAACTTCGTGGTTACAATTTAGTCAAACTTTCTACTATGCCACCGGGTTGTTATTGTTAACTGAATAAAGAATTAAAGTATCATTAAACCTTATGCGTGAATTATAAATGGAGACTAACGAAAAATCTTCCCAAAAGTAATGTGTCTCAGGTCAATGATACTAAATAAACAACTTTTTTTTCAAAATTCCTATCAAAGAATATTTCTATAGATTGAAGTTTGTGTTGTAAACAAGTAATTGCAACTTTTATTACCAGCGTGTCTTGCGTACATGGGTAACATTTAATTTCTATTACATTGAACCTGTTAAACGACACTATCGCAGGTTTTGAGAGTGAAGAGTCGTCAAATTAATGAATTATAACAAGAACGTATAGATCATTTAAATTTATACTGTAATAATAATAATAATAATAATAATAATAATAATAATAATAATAATTATGATGATGATAATAATAATAATAATAACAATAATAATGATGATGATGATGATGATGATGATGATGATGATGATGATGATGATACAATGTAATAATAATAATAATAATAATAATAATAATAATAATTAGAGTTAGGGGTATCCTACATCAGTTTTATTGTAGTGTTTTAAATCATATATATTTCACTTCTACCAAAATAAATCTTCAATCAATGATCCATACTAATTAAAAAGTGAGAATTTGGGACAACTTGCAACAACAAAAAAATCAAAATAAAATTTCAAACTGAAAAACTAAGATCAAATTAGATGCCGAGATATTTAAAATATGCAAAGCTTTGTAAAGTTAAAGTACAAATTTGAAAAATAATCAACACGTGAGCTACGACTGAAATCGATGTTTTGATATTAAAAACTTGTTTACTATATAATCGACAAGAATGCATTCAGTGCGGGATCGTCATGCACTTTTGCTTACATAAGGTAAACATCTTGAAAGATAACAATGTGCAATTCATAAATAGGAAAAAATATTTCATAAACAAGTTAAATTTACCGACAAGTGAAGAACCTCACGCTGTATAGTAAATAATACGATATAGTTTACAGTTTTTAAGTATCTCTGCACTACGAATTTCTTATGTTTTAAACGAATAAAAAACGTTTTAATGTTAGCAATTTCAAGAATTTTATAAAATGATTTTATTGACCTGTCATTTATGAATACATTATAACACTCTAAGTGTATACCTAATGCATGAGATGTCCGAAGTTCGATCCATTCTTTTTAAATTCTTTTTAGGCTTATTCTTTCTTTCTATTTAAGTATATTTTAATGAAAATTGTCAAGCGTTTGCAAAATTGTCTACACGGATATGAAACAACTAAGAAACACTGAATTGTCACATTTTGTATTGCATTTTACTGCACTGAAATGACATTTATTGATTTTAATCCAAATGAATTTTGAATATTAATTCTTAAACATTTAGTAAAATATTTGCCAAAAAAATATGCAAAGCATATTAAAACAGAAAGAACAACCATAACTTCAAAAATGTTGAAAATAGTTATGAAGAAGAAAAGAAAACTGGACTTACGCTGTTTCGATCTTACAACACGTATGGCATTTAGATATATTATACCCGTAGTTTACCCTATTTCGCTATATTCTATATCTATATTTTCGGATATTAATATATTCTGTGCATTGACCGTATAATCAGTATGGAGTTGACAGGTTAATAAAATCAAACAATAATCATATATAATTTTACTTTATTGATTCAGGCGAGCGCACACACAGACACATTTCTGGTGTAACTCAAGTACGAATGTTTTGATTATGTGAAAGTATTGGAAAAATGTTTACAAGGTTTGTTATAAAAATTGATATTAACTCATATTTTTCCAAAAATGAAAAAAAGCAACATCCACCCCGCTCATCCACTTCCAAACAACAACAACAACAACAGTAACAACATACTGTCGACACCTCCATCACTCCCCCACCCTACCCCCAGAAATAAAAATAAAAAGAAATAAATAAATAAAAATAAAAAAAAATAATTAAAGTGACATTATGCTTATTTTTTCATTGTCAAATTAACTCTAATTGACTATATATTTCTATAAACTGGTTGTTATAATGGTGATTGACCAACACATGATATTTGAAAATGTTAAGGGTAAAAAATAATTCTACCCAAATAATTATATAAAAAAGACTGCCCCACCTTTTCTATAAATTGAAAGTTACAGATACATTACGGACGGATAATTATTACACATTTCACAGGGGCTAGTGAGTTGTTTATCGTTCATGTCATTCATTTTCGTGTAAGGTAGGGTAGAGAAAATAATGATGTATATATATTACAGAGCAATATGTTAAGATGTAAAATGATTTATACGTGCAGTCATTATATGTATAATATAAGTTTATATATGTTACCTCCTCCCATATAGATTCTTTTTTGGGAATGTATGGGTGTCACATTGCTTTTTGTTAAATTCATGCACTGTTTGTTGTATGTAGATATTTGTGCTATGTTTATCCTCATGGGCTTTTTAGCCTAATGGAATGTTGAATAAAACTTTGAAACTTTGAAACATGTGAAGTTAATCAATTATGAGAAAATGTCAACTTATTTTGACTTTCACCTGTTCACTCAATATCTACCCATGGATGGGCATAATGTCACTGATAAAAAAGAGTTATCTTTTACCATTATAGTTATGTTAGCATTTATTACAAAATAATAAAACACAATATTTAAAAAGAAAGGAAGTTTTGTAAAGGAAATTAGAAAAAAAGAGTTAAAACACAGCGAAAATCAATTCCTAGTCACATCGTTCATAAATTACACAATGAAATATGTTTTGTATTCTAGAATTATATAAAAAAAATGATTTAAAATAGCTTACATATTAGAACAACTGCCGTAATCATCGTGATTAGTTTTCCTTTCATGTTTAGTCCCTTAACTCATATATTATTATAATAATTTCTTTTGATATTCTCCTTTAAATATATATACGCTGATGGAAAACCATTTAGTTATTTATATCATTGGCAATCCCTTTTCAGTTTAAGTCCTCTTTTGCAATCTTATTTGTTTATGTCGAAGAAAATTTAGCAATAGCTAACTTTTAAAGTTAATGTTGGGAACGTGACTTAAAGTGTAATCTACATAACGGACATAAATCATGTTTACAATTTCAAAAAATATATTGAGCCTTAACTTGTACTTTTATTAAATAATATGCACGTAACGCTGTTACGATAGAATTAACAAAAAAGTAAAGTGATTAAGAGAGGTTAGAATATAACATAGATTGGTGATTAGAGATCAGCTGGTGAAATACAAATGTTATAATGATAAAATCTTATACATTTCGTCTAACTTTAGTGTATACACGAGACCGGCTTATCTAGCGTGAGTTAGTACGATTCAATGTTCAGTTAATCATTGACAAAAGTTGCAGTTGAATAAATCAAGATAGAGCAATATAAAGCACAATTATTTAACACCCTGAAGCTAAGAATTGGTCAGTTTACTGGAGTTTTCATAAACGCATATATAGACACAACTAAAACTGTTTTATAGAATTTCTTTAAACTTGGCATGTTGTAAGAATATGATAACAGAAACATTTTAAGCGATAAGAAATTGGGGTCACCGTCCTTGTTATTGAGTTATCTGCCCTTGAATAAGACGTTTTTTAGTTAAATCAAGGGCATATAATTCACAATGAAGGTAACCAAAACCTATTTTTGCTTATTAAATTTATAGTTTACTTCTGTTTTAGACAATGTCGAAAATTTCAACATAGAATAAAGAGTGGATTGCCTTTTTCCCGCTTCTTTTCTAAACCTGTGACTTTTTTTCGTAAAAAATGGCCTTTTTGAAAGAATTTCACCCCCCCCCCCCCCCCCCCATTTTTTTTCGCTTAAATTGTTTCTATTATCAATTTCTAACAACAGAAATTCTATAGAACAGCTTTATTTTTGCCTATATGTCCACATGTGAAAACTCCCGAAAACGTCTTTAATTAATTAAGCTCAAATTCCTTTGCAAGTACTGTTGATTTATTTGTGCAATATCTATCAATGTAGAGTATAAACTAATCCACCTGGTGACAACATGAATCCACAAAGCACCCATCATGTAAAAATAATTGTTGTTGACGTGTTTCCCTATGTGTTAAAAGGTGTCCTTTTTTGTTTTTGTTCTTTTGTCATAATATAAACAACTTATGGTAGATTAACATTTTACCTTGACATCCGACAAAATAAGTATTCACTATTGCAGCATAACATAAGTTTTATGTTTTTACATGTTAAATCTTATTGATATTTCATTGGTTTATTTTAATTGTAAATTGTAAACTCAAATACGTGAAACAGTTAATGAGGACTTTGAATGTATTTGGCGTCCGCGCCGAAGCGCGGCGCCTTTTATGTAATGAAATCAGATTTTGTGAAAGGGCGACAGCAACTTCTCGAGCCTTTTATAGTTGTTCATAATAAAAGCCGATCATTCCGATCGGTATGAGGGTGCTTGATTATTAATTAGTCGCGATATGTACAATGAATAGCGAACTGGAGAATTTCGCAATGCAAACATTTTCAAATGAAATAACCTTTTCAAATTAAATAACCTTTTCCGTCAATAAATCGCGCTCTTCAAGGTATTTTTATTTATCATTTTGTAGTACAAAGTGGATTATTATGGTATGTTATTCCGAAAGCTGTAAATAGAATGATGAGTTGATGACCTAAATATTCCGAAAAGCTATTTATAGAGGGATGTACTCCTGTCGGTAATTCCCGGTCTCTCCTGGTCTATTTTGACGACCGGCGAATAGTACCACACGTTTATTGTCCGGTCTCTCCCGGTTTTGGAGTAGATGTTTGATATCGTTACAGAACAGAACAAATATTTTACAGATAAATAAGCTTTTTTTCAAAATGAATGTTTGTCACTTAGTTTGGTTACAATAATTAATAAACACAGATCAACTCTCAAAATTATTGCTTATTATTATACATAAACATACAATTCGAAAAAAAAAACAAAAAAAAAACACACAAATCGCATGTTTTATTTTATCTATATGAGATAAAAACAATAAATATGAACAATAATTGAGAAAAAATGTACATTTTTATGGCATTAATATGACACTATCAACTTTGAAACATTTTATTTAATTTGTTATTCGTGTTTAGTAAAGATGCCGAGGAATTATTCAAAGTTACAAATCAGATTTTATGAATTATTCAATTGATTGATAATTTAAGAAATGATAAAGAAAAATACAAATGTACATGTATATGGTTTAAGAATAAACAATATTATATATTGAAAGATTAACCATAATTTACTGACTTTTTCCAGTTAAGTTTTGACTTATAATCGTCGGTCATTATGACAATTGAATTCTTAAAATAATAGTAAACGTTAAAAATCAGTATTAAAATAGTGCATAAAACACAAAAAAGAAAAGAAAACAATATTCATAAAATCTGTATTTTTTTTTATTAAAAAAGATATTACAATTAGTGTATAATAAACATTTATGCTCAACATGGTAATATAACAAGTGTCATATTGTTACTAAGTGTGAACAGATACCTTAAGAGGGGGTCTCCGCTAATAGTGATAACATAATAAGGGACAATTACACAAGTGTGGTGTTGATCATGCGTTACTCATATGGATTATAAATGATTGTATACATGTATATCCGTTGCTATTAATAATCACGATCATAAAGAAATAACAAGTAATATTCTAATTTCTAGCATGCCAATCAAATTTATAAATAATGAACAATGTCTTTCGTTCGTTCATTCATAAGTGATATACAATTCTGGTAAAAACCAATGAACCATTGAACAGTTTATCATCATATATCTACTTGTTCATCTGCACCTGCTGCATTTCTTGCTTGGACGCCCTTTGATGCTTTGCATCAATGCTTTTCTTGTACAATATTGTATTACGGTTAACCCGTTTCAATGTATTACGTATATCAATGTTTGTCCGTATTATTCACGTATTCATTTCGATTAATTGTTTTTTTAACTGTTTAAAGAATTATATGTAGGTTCTCTTAATTAAGCTAAGAGAATACTAACATTCTTTCTTAAATAAAAAGGTTAAATGTCCAAGATTGACAACGATGATGTATTTGCTTATTTAACAACAAAACATTTTCTTTAAAAAAAAACCAGCCGCGCCCAAATAACAGAAATTTAAATTTCACGAAAATAAATAATATAAGGGAGCATTTACATACATGTACTTTGATTTTAATGAGTAATCGAACAAGGGGACTCCACGGAGTTTAATTTTTTAACATGACGGGACTTGAAATATTTTTGCAATATTTGTGTACAATTTGGAGTGGTCATACATTAAGCCGAAGTTAATATTTTATCTTGGACATAATATCTATTTATTATTACGATAGACACAAAAGGTTATCATCCAGTTATTTATATCATGTGCATCAAGGATCTAATATATCGTGAACTTAAAAGTAAATTCGCAGGCATAAACATATCTACAATTTGCAAATAATTTTCATGTGAACTGTATATAATGAGATTTCGTGCAAACTCCTCGCAACCGTTACATACAACTGTCCATTGACTTGTTACTGCAGCTTAAAACACTTTCTTGTTTCTCGGTTATAACGCATATTAACATTTAATACAAATTAGAGAACAGAACATACCACCACTTCCGGATTTATAACATTAAAATGTACATACAATTTTGTATGTACACGTATAACCTGTATTTATCACAGTGTCCAACAAATTAATTATAGTGATTAAATCTAAAATAAATATACCTCTCTCAAATGTTTAAAGCACAATATCCAACCAATCTTCTAGTTGGAATTCATTATCGTAAAGATAATATTTACAAATTCGGCACAGACAGAATGCCAGGCAGACGAACGGACAAATGGGTACATCTGTAGTCGCCTCAGATGAAACCAGTAAGAGAATATTAACGATATTTTAGAATATTTTACCTATTCAAATAAAATTTTCAAAATTTAGTAATAATTTATACAACAATTGCTTCATTTATGGAAACTATTTATGAATGAAGTTTTTATTAAACAAGAGAAAGCTATTAAGCTAGCTTAAGGAACGTTGGTGGTTCTACTCAAGTGCCCGTTTGTGCCAGACATTATGCACAGAATGTAACCTGAGGTCTTCCTCCACCTTACTGGAAAGTCAGTGTGTTGGTGCGACGTAAAACCCAACAAAAAAAACAACGCTGACCTCAACGTAAGTTTATCTAAGTGATGAGGAGATATAAGAACGAACGGTCACTGAAAACTAAATAACAAAAATAAACTTTTAGTCGTTATTGGGAAACATTTGTTGAACGCACTTGGTTTCACATTATCACTGAGCATTTTGTTACAGTAATATAACTTAAATAAAGAACAAACAAGAAGAGGGGATTCAATGAACACATCGCCCATACAATTTAATTGATAACAGTAAAGTCATTGAGTCACACACGCATTTAGATATAAATGAATGTATCCAGATTATCTTAATATGTCCTTGAATGCAATAATATCATTGCTTTATTTTATGCTTTTCAGTGGATTACTGATTTATCCGTGAAAATTATATTTGGTAATTTCACAGTTAAAATTATCAATATAATTTCACTCTTTTCAATGACGAAACTACTTTTTTAAGATTTTCCCCATGTGGTACCTCAATTTTATTTTTGCTGAAAATTCTGACAATGTCAGGCTGTTTAAAGAAAAAGCAAAACTGAAATTGATAAATAACTTAAATGTCAAAAGTAATAAAAAGAAGAAAACTTACTTCTATTCATTCAAATTCATGAAATTCCAACCACCAAATTTCGTTTTTTTGTTTCATTTTGACAGTCTCAAAAATACATTCCTTCCCCATGCAAAACTGCTCTTGATGACATTTGGGCATATTAAAGTATCCTACGAGCAATAACTGCCGTATGCTTTATGAAAAATTGAAAGCATTGACAGCCATAACTCGAAGAATAAGTTAAATCAACCCAGCGTTCTTGAGCAGGTTTCCAAGTTTTCCATTTTCCTAGCTCCTTTTCTGAATGTTTTCACATCTGTCAACACTTATTTTTTGTCTGTTACAATCCTCAAATAAGTTTTCTTTCTTTTAAAAATGTGTATGACTAACAAATCCAAATTATATCCCTCTGAATCTTACACAATTATTTTCCTCCCATGAAATACACAACTTTAAAAAATGGCTGCCGCTTACAATTTACAAAGCCAGGTCTAATATAAATTCGCACTAAGTAACAGGAATATGGATGGATGGTTGGACTTTTTCTCCTACAAGAATTGTTTGTTTTTATTATCAAAACAAGCGATCATTCATATTTTTTTAATAAAATTAATAAATATCACTGTCATTTAATGTTGATTGGCGGACTTATTTTTCAGCTCAAGACTTCTTTTTTTTAATGAGAAATTCCGAATAAATGGGGCTCTCAATGGGGGAAACAGTTTTAATATTAACGTTAAAATTATGGAAATTTCGTTTTAACTTGTTTTTAAGCATAAAATAAAAAGAAAATTTGTCTGTTTGTTGTGTAAGATGTAATTTTATTTCATCTCGTGAACTTTAAAAACAGTATTCTCACTCGTGGCTTCGCCACTCGTGAGAATACTGTTTTTAAAGCCCACTCGATGAAATAAAATTTCATCTTACACACAAACAAACAAATATCCTCTATTTATGTAATAAAACACTTATGTTTAAATTTTTGAGTTATTAAACTATAGCAAATTATCATATCTACTTTTGTATCTAACATCTTCCCCGATCAACTGCACCTTAACATTGTCATCTAATAACTATTACAAAATATAATACAAAATATAAATAAACATGTTACAAAATAATCATATTCACGTATGCAAACTTAAAGTATAAAATATATTATATAAAAATGACATCTGTCCAAAGGGTCAACTAAAAGGATTAGATAAGGTATATTGTGGGGATATGGCAGAACAATTAATTAAATCTTGATATAAGAAAAATCAAGAATATAAAATCACACTATCAAAAGACTAAATAGAGATACTATGATGAATGAGATTTCAAAAATATTTTCTGAAGATATTCTTAAAAATCCAAGAATTATTTGAATTTAATATTACACTTATTAGAATCCCAAACATTTAAAATATGACATAAAACGGGCTTGACTGTAACATTGGTTTATTACAATCATGCACATAATAAGATATGTTACATTGAATATTTAACTTTATTTAACTTATGTATTCATGTTAATATAATACCTGTACTTTAATAATAATTCTTCTAATTAAGAAACACGTGAGTTAAATTTGTTGAAATGGATGAAAAGGTTTTAGATATATCTAATTGCAGTCATGTATTCAAGCCGAAAAAATTAACATAACAGTATACTATTAAATAATCGTCGTTTTTACAATCCATTTCAAATCAAGCGAGTTTGTGCCAACAGGGAGAGTATCGAAAAAGTAATCTAAAGGCTGATTGTTCATTCCTGAAGTGAGGCGTTATTTCTTAGTGACAACTGATCCCAGACATTAAGTCTAGTGCTCATTTATATCTAGCCGCGTATTCATAAACCACACGGAATCAGTAGCCATTAGTAGCCAGTCTCTTGCAAATAATTTGGTATTTACGAGTAAGTTACTCAGGAAAGTCGGTCAGGTGGATAGGTCGTCGAGATATGACAAACACATGTGTTAAACTTGGAGTAAAGAAACGACAACAAAATAACAACAATAAAGAAACAGTTTAATATTTAAGACACGAGCGGATACCTGAGTGAGCTAGAATAAATATTAAATTAAATACTGATATGAATAAACTCACAAGAACCTTGCGATCCAAGATTGACTCAGAGTCAGCAACCATACGCACTAGGCAATAGAAAAACTTGACAAAAGGTATAATGTAAGCCGAATATGATATATTTAAAATATAAATGCAGCCTAGATCTACACACTTATATCTGCTCATTTATTTGCAGGTTAACACTATGATGAAAGCGAATGGAAGTGTGTAAAAGGTTGTAAAACCAACCAAATATAGGCGTTAAGTTACATAAGAATTGCGATTGATAACAACACTGTCCATTTGGTTAACAAATTGTATCACAGTTCACAAATCAACGAACGACTCTATCTAAATCTGAGTATTGTGTTCGTCTACAACGAAAATAATTGCATCTTCTTGTCTTTAGCTTTTGTCGGATATTGTGCCACTGGTTTTGTAATAACCGGCTTTGTTGCAATATAAGCCACATTAGGTTGTTGTGGTAGTCTGTTTGTCTGTACTGGAACACTGTAAATTGCCCCATTGTTTCCACTGACTTGTCCATACATTTGGGCAGGGGCGTTCACTACCATTCCATTTCTACCAGTCGGAGATTGCACTGTAAATAATAAAAACCATATAAAGAAGTAAAAAATATTTGTAAGAAAACAAAAAGAAAACTCTAGATTTGCAATATTCTATTCGACGTGGTGAACTTTGAATTATTCGACTTACCGTTTGATTTGTTATGTTGACTTCTTCGGATAAGGCATGCAATGACAACACCGACGACAAGCACAAAAATCACACTGCCCACAATTGATGCTATTTGTATCGTGCTGGTACTGAAATGGAAAAAGGAAAACACATAATTGCTGACCTGTCATACTTCATTTAGCAATATCAACCCTTTGTAGCATAAAAATACATTTATTGCTTTAGTTCTATTCAGGTCGCTTTGTAAAGAAAACATAAGAGATCCTAATTTCTCTTTTGTAAATGAAGTAAGATAATAAATTTTCTATTGAGAAATTAATATAGTAATCTAAATCACAATAACTTATGTAATTTAACTGACCACCTCTATTGTACATGCTGATATGCCCAGCATTTGTTTTTATGCCAACTTAAAAGAAACTCCAGCTTTTTCACCAACATTTAAGGACGGAATTCCGCGATTTTCCTCGGTTAGTAAAGAATGAAAAGTCGTTACCACACGATCTTTATACTGATGACCAAGAAACCAACTTATATCACATACACAATAAAAGCAAGTAATTAATGCAGACAATCTACTCGTTGATTAAGTAGTGCATGTAAATAATGCCTTTAAACAAATGACTCTAAATCTGAAATGATTCTCTTAATTTCACGATAATTTTTGCAATTTTAGAGATATCTAGCTTTTTAATAAAACCTCACTTAGCGCTGTATAATTATACAAAGCAATATATGTATATATCAATTCTGTAATACTATGCATGTTTGGAAACGACAGAATAAATGTTGTAATCCGCAAAATTTAAAATGAAGGATATTCCTTTATAGCACAAAACTTTACATATGGTGTAATGAGTATATGTACTGTAAAAAAGTTGGTTTTTACACACCTAGGTGATGATGTTGTTTTTGTGTAACTATCTGGTCGTCTTGTAGGATTACGTGTTATTGGCTTTGATGTCGTCCAGAATTGTGTTGGTTTTAATGAAGTCCTTGGTTTTGAGGTAGTCCTTGGTTTTGAGGTAGTTCTCGGTCTTGCAGTAGTTCTTATTGGTGGTGTTGGTTGGGGTGTAGCCGTTGTAGGTTTCTGTGTTGAACTGAAGATATATATTGTTAATTGTTGTGTTATTTTATTATTATTTATTATAACTATAGGTAACAAAATACTGTCTTTGAAACGAGAAACTGGGGAATTGTACCAAGAAAATCGCCTACGCAAGTAACTTAAATGTTCATTTTCACACAACATAAAAAAATCTTTATTTGACTAATAACAGCATTGCATTTAAATACAAGTGTTTGAAAAAAAGAGTAAATTAATATTTTTCAATTAACAAAAATAATTCTTTACTTTGAGCAATTCCAGCAAATCACAGCTCTAGCAGATGTATATTATGGTATAATATTTTAAGTACCTTATATGATTTGCTTTTTACAAAGACTTCAAAAATTTCCAGTCCAGGAAATCGAAGTATAGCAAGCCTTTGATGAAACAGGTTTTCATGTAAGTAAATGTGAAATTACTTTGAATGTAACAAAATTATCACGTGAAAGACAAATGTAAAAAATTACCACGTAAAAGAACAGAGGAAGACATGCTAAAATCTGTAAATTCGACGTTTTAAACAAGTATGAAACTGACTTTGTTGCATGAACAACTTGTATGATTGCTTTCAAAATAAAAACAAACTAAGAAATTCTAAGTTGCCAATCATGTAAAAGAAAGCCACTTACAAAATGTCGAGAATACATCGAAACCCACTACAGAATGTTCCAGACGGACAGCAGCCGACAAATGAACAACATGTATGATTACTTGCACAATAACTGTTATAACAACAAACGCTTCCGGCGGGCATACAGCCGTCACTGCAACAATCTTGGTCCTTCTTGCAGTAGTGATAGGTAAATATTGATGTAAACGATCCTGTGAAAAAAAATTACAGAATAAAAATGTTTTATAAATTATAATTTTAAAAAAAAACATTTTTTTGAAAATTTGAAAACCATACACAACAAAAAAACAAATTTTTTCATTTTAGCGCTATTTTTCTAAAAGTTTTAAAATTTTTTCTATCCTTAGAAAAAATAAAAAAAATGTTCCCCCTTCTGAAAAATAGAGAAAATAAAAAATCTAAAAACACAAACCAAAATTGAAAATGTTGCAGGTTTTTAATGACCGTTCAAATGAAATTGAAATTTACCTAAAATTAAACGGTGCAAAACAATTTATTTTTATTAAAATTTTTATTTATAAAAAAAATTTTAAATTTAATAATTAAATAAAATATTTTTTTAATATTCAAAATTTGAAAAAAGGTTTTAAACTTACTGAAAAATTAATTAAAAGATTCTGATTATCGTAACATTTTCCCATCATTTTCACCACATATTTGGGGAATGTAAAAATAAAAAAAAAATACCCAAAAATGCAATGTTTGATACAAAAACCGTCCCTGTCAAACATATACATGTAATTTTGTAGACAAAAGTAAAAATAATTATTTTGAAATTTTAATTTTTAATAATCCAAACAAATTGATTTTGCACTATCTTTTAAATAGGTTCTTAAGACGTGTAAATAAATTGACAAATTAATCAAAAATTTTGTAAAAAAATTGGGCTGTTTCATCAGGGTCTTGTTTTAGAAATGTTGGGACAAATTTTAAATAAAAAACTTACAGTAACCTCCACACCATCAGCCCCAACTTCGCCAAAATACACAATAAATAATAAAATTAAAATAAATTTTTATTTTTTAAATAACAAAAAATTTTTGGCACTTTTTGATAAAAAACATACATTTTGGAGTACAAGGGAAAATTTTTCATTTTCCATTTTTTAAGTTATTGTTTCAATAATAAAGGGTTAATGCACATTTTCTGTTGTTTTTTTTTGTTGTTGTTTTTTTTCTCCTCCTGTGTGATCAGTTTTTATGCAAGATAATGAATCGTATAAAATTGTTCTAGTAAATGGTGTTTACATGTAAAAACAGTGTTGTTTTTTTGTGGACTTTTTGTTCAATGTGTGCTAGTTTACGGAACGTCGGTGGTTCTACTCAGGTGACCGCTTGTGAGACACCTGGGGTCTTCCTCCACCAGCAATCCGCCGTATAACATCCACATTACATGCTTATTATTTTATCTCGTAGAAGAATTTCATTTACTACTTTTGTAGTCGTTTGGACATTGCTTCATAAATTCAAATCTTCTATAATATTGCCACAAGCACCAAATGAACTAATCTGTACTATTAATATATCTTCAACATCAAGATAAATTCCATGTTAATCGATCTTTCTGAACTTGGCGTCTCATTGTTTTGATGTGCGCAAGACAAAGAAGAAAATGTACATATGAAAATACATTCATTTATGCATCACTGAATTGTTGTTGTTGAAACGAAAGGTCGTTGCACATAAAAAGTCACGTTTGAGTTAAACTTGATACCTTCACACTACCCTGTTTAACATTATCCGATAAATGGAGCATGGGATAGCTTGGATCGTAGCATTCAATCAATTTGAACTGACACCTAATAAACAACCTGTTTTCAAAACCCCGATTAAGTTTCAGTTTAAATATACGTATTAAAGCTTAGTTGTGAAACAAGTTGTGAAACTTTATATTGATCATAAACCTACCATCGCTTCACAACATGAAATTATATCAGAAAAACATGAATTGGTTCTAGTGTGCTTGAACCAAACCAATCCCTAATTGACGACGTTCAATACTAACCATAAATCCATATAATTTTTTATTTTAGATATTTATATTTCATTAAACAAACTATTTCAAGGTCAACAATAACAACACGAATATGGTTCACTGTCATAAGACACTGATTGTCAAGAACAAGTTTCCACCACACAAAAACAATAATGAAATTATTGTTAATGCAATTTCATCAGTAGCTATAAGTCACATTAACATTTAAATGTCGACTTTTCTAGTTTAAGGGTTATAGAACAATTTAAACGCATCTTAGGGTATCACGAAAGGTATTAGCAGGCACCTTGCTATATCCACCGGCCTTCTGTTAACTAGCTAATTCATGAAAAAAAGAGTAAAAAATCAAAAATCTGATGCTTCTTGGGGCAAATTTTATAAAACAGAAAGATATTATATGCTTATTTAAATACTCCAGAAGTATGTGCTGTTTGAAGAGAAATAATATTTTTTGTGTAATTATTGTGTAACAAGTAAACGTCTTCATCTATATGATCAGAACCGTCAATTGTCATCACAACTCAAATTTACGTATATATACGTAGATTTACATAAGTATTCGTAAAGAAACAACATATCGAATTTATCAGAGGTAGCGGTAGATTTTTCATCAAAGCACTAAATGTTAACTTAAATTGAGGAATTTAATTGTAAGTCAATGAATTAGTATTATATATATGTAAATCATTTGTTAAACATCATATTTATGTAAGTCAATCATTTAGCATCAATTTTTTAGTCAACCATTTAACATTATTTTAATGAAAGTCAATCATTTAACATCATATTTATTTGTTCGTCAGTGATGCAATAGCGTATATATTTTAGTCAATAATTCAGTAATATGTATATGTTCGTAAGTCATTCAATAGCATATTGATGTTGGTCGGCCATCTAGCATCGTATATATATGCTAATCAATTATTAACATTACAGTCATGCAGGTCAATATTTAAACGTTTTATTCACGATATTCACTCATTTACCATTATACCTTTTTTAACAAATATTTTACATTATATTTATGTTAGCATTTAACACAATAACAAAATAACAAATGGTTAGTAAAAATGTTATTGTGTAAAGAAAATTGAAAAAGAAAATCAACACAAAATAAAACATGCTCCATTCTTAGTCGTAACATCAAAAAAAAGATATTCTCGCATTTTTTTTTCTTTCTGGTATTGTGTAAAAAATAAAAGATAATTTAAAATAACTTACATATTAGAAAAAGTGTAGTAACAATCATGATTTTCTTTCCTTTTAATTTCTATGTACTCATATATATTAATTTTTTGAAGTTAATCCTGTAAATATGTATGCAATGGAAAACCATCTAATTTTCTATAACATGTGTATCGAGCATAAAGGTCGACTACCCTGTTTAACGCTTCTTTTACTATGTTACAATGCGAAGGTTATAGTAGCAATAGGTAACTTTAGATAGTTGTGGGGACGTGACTTAAAAAACTGTAACCTAAATAAAGGACACAAAACATGTTTACAATTTTAAAAGAGCAGAATGTTTAAGTTTTTATTTGTACTGTTTATAATATGGAATAGGTACGAAATGTTTTTCTATTTGCATGAAAAGGGGTAGAAGTAAATACTGAGAGGTTAAAGTTTAACATAGATGATTTTCTTGCAGTTACCTTTCAATGAGGAATCAGAACTGATTTGTCCGAAGTTAATACATAAATGAATTAGTGACGTTCACAGAACAGATGTGCCGAAAATCAACAACAAAAGACAAGTCAAATATCTTATTGACAAAATATGTGTCAAGTCGATTCAACTCTTAGTTGCATCGCTGCAAATACGCATTTTACTATGTTAACAATTACATATTTGTTTGTACATTTTAGTAATTATATAAACCTATTTATTAAGGTCATAGGCAATAATGTTTAGGTAAAAACGTCATTTTCTTCATATACTAATAAAAATACATTCAGTTTCAATTTGTGAATGAACGTTGGTTTCATTTAATATTCCTATGCCTACCTATAGCAAATTTGTGCGAATATGGCATCAATCTTGATAACATTTTACGATATTTTATATTTATTTATTGATCTCTGTTGCATAAATTCAATTTAAAGTAAAAAAAACTATAGATTGTAAGTTTAAAAAAAGTACTCAGTTTATCACATTGATGCAGTTGCTGATCATATAATCTTTACAAAATAGTATTTACATGCAAATTTACTGTTGTTGATATATTGGTTGGGTTTGACATTGCATCAAAACAGTAGAGGTCATATGGCGATTTTCCAGCTGTATTGCTGGAGAAAAAACTCCGGTGCCACTCCGTGCATTATTTCAAACACAAGCAGGCACCGACGTAAACGCATCGACATTCAGTCAGCTAGCTGGACGGCATCTCCATATAACAAAGTTTAAATTCCCCAAAGGGATTGGAACGTAGATCAGTGAGGGGCCAGTTGTTTGAAGTCAACGACCTTAACTACTCGGGCTAGGACGCCCCTATACACAGTTGTTATATTATCATTATAACAGAGAAATGCCTTACTCTGAAACATTTTGTTTATTAGCTATGTAATGATTTAACATTTGTATCATTTAAAAACACCAATTTGTATAAGAGAGTTTGGGGATTTCATAATTCTGTGCCAAATTCTGACTTTTTGCAGAACTGATAAAGGATATCGTCTAAATTCACCTAGAACCAATGATTTAATCTGCCTGCGTACACATGGAACTTGCTTTAAAAATAAATGACCTTTTTTGATGCCCGGTGTCTTATGAAAAACTTTACCTGTGATCCGATAAAAAACATACTATCTACAATTCAAATATTTTTGTAATCTGCAAGACAAATGAATCAAATAAAGAATTAAAAAGTACACTTCCCTATTTAGTACGATATGTATGCAGTTTACTTGGGAGGCATTTTAAACCTTCCTAAGTATAAGAAAATAAAACTGTATCGACCGCAAACAACAGCACAATTATTTGTATATCATCTATTGAAAATGTATGTAAATTTTCATGTATATCATTTATAAAGAAAATAAATAACAGAGGTGAGAGTGGTTGCCCTAGCTAAATTGAATTAAGCCATATGCCATTTCAATTAAAAAAAAAGAAATAATAAAAGATGCATGTACCTTTTTCTTGCACGTTTTATTATTTCATTAAAAATAAAATTTAAACAAAAATGAAATCAGTAGTATGTATATGTTTATCTTACATTAATACATAACATACTGGAAATCGTTCAATATTTCATTTCTTTCGGCCCATTTACGTAATCTAAAACAGTAAAGAAGAGTATAGAAAAATATAATATTATGTCTGATAGCCCTGTAATTATTCACATCATTTGATTTAGAATTCTTGGGCACTGGTAAAATAGTCTCACCACCACGATTCGGTATATTCAATTGTATTAGATATATGATTAAGCAAATTAAAAAATGATTTTTTATTATTTCTTAAACAATTGTCTCTGTAATAAGATTATCTATTCCAGCACTTTTGCCAGTCTTAAGGGTAAAAAGCAGTTTATTACATCATCGTTTGTGAAATCCCTGTTCGTTATTATAAAGTGTATCGTCATTATCACAATGTTTCTCCGCAAAATAATTTTGAAATATCTCTTGATTTGAAAACAAGAAGTTTGTAAAATGCTCAAAAAAATCTTCCGATGATAATTCTTTTCTACTAGATTTATTTATTTGATTTTTATCTTTCCAAACTTTTTGCGGCTGTATGCAAGCTAAAATGACATTTTCTATCTCTCGTTTAAATTCTTTAAATAAGTTTGTTGTAAACAAGTAATTTCATATTTTAATTCGATCTTTTTTTACAATAATTTTATTTGCTGCACGTTTGAACTTTCTTCTAGTGTCATCACATTTTAATTAAACCAGGAGTTTTTATATCTTTTGTTCTATTTCTTGTATTGTTTCTGACAGGTTTTGACTCAACAAAAATACTGAATGAAATTGATTATAACACATATGCTATTTATATCAAAATCCACAGTATTTTAATAACACTATTAACAGTCATATTAATGTTCATAATTACATTCTGAATCAATTTTTAATTATTATTTATCTTATCACTATCTTTATTGTGACATTTTAATACATCAATACCAATACATTCATTTTTGAGATAAAATCAAACTGTACATGTACATGTTTATGTCGAAAAGGTAAACAAATTATGTAGTATAAAATCATACACAAAGGGAAATAACTCGTATTATATTAGCAAATAATCTATCAAGCTTTTATCCAGAAAGGAAAAAAAAACCATTTCATAAATCTAGGTCATTCCCTAATCTCCCTTTTGCACTTTTGAGTTAGGCATGCAAGCATAGAGCAACAAATCAAATTTTTGTTTACTTCAGAGCAGTTTCTTAACTATATAAGTAATTTAGTTGATGTTTTAACGAATGCATGTTTTCTTCGGGAAGTTAATGTTTTTAATTGTTTATCAATAAAATTTTGATGACTTATCGTGTGGTAGGTAGTAATTAAGTTCAATATCTACCTATAATATTATGCACTGGACCAGTATGATGTTATTATAACAAACAGTCGGCCACCGCACATAAACACTTGAATTTAGTGTAAATATCACGTAAAATGTACACTGATACTATCTATAAATGATAAATTTTGTCGCTTATTGTCAAGAAGTGTGTCCGTTTGTAATGTATCGGTGTTGTTTGTATTTCTGTTTTGCTGCATACGATAACTTTATTTCAAATTGCAAATATTTCCTTCACCAATAAACTTTGACAAGATATGCTACTGTACTACTGTACCTGTTATGAAACCATGATTATTGTTAAATCATAACTGCCGATTTATCTCATAATTAGAATAACTTTTATTTCCAACGAAAGGTCATATTATATGGCATATAACTAACAATAATAATATCAAAGCATTACTTAATAATTTTGAACAATAGTCACCGGCAATTGTCTTAATTACGTTCGTTAATTATAAACATGTTATCTTGATGATGCATGTTTATTATGTTCACATCCTGTCAATACATTACGTCACAATATATTCTTAAAAGGGAAAAACTAATTGATTTATAAAATATTGTTTAATCATACAGCAATACTTGGAGAGAAAATCATAATAATATCTCTAGAAATTCAAATAATGAAAATATTGTTTATATCGTTTATTTGTACAGGTAAGGTATAAATTTTCCTCTTTACTGGTTTTTAATGATATCTTAATTATACTATATTCATAAAATAATTCGTACATGCAATTCATCCGAACAAAGCAAAAAGAATGTTTGCTTTTGTTTTTATTTTATAAAATATGTACATATTCAAAACCAAAGGAATATGCAATATCAAGTATTTTCATATTTTTTATAAAAACAGAAATATATTTAATAAAATAACAAGAAACACAATTATACAAATGTTATTTTAGTTATCTGACTTATTGTTAAATGTTTATATATTTCCGGTTCCGGTAATAACAAACGCGAATTTCTGATAGTGAGCTAAAAGTGTTGATTTTTGTGGAATATACGGATATTTTACGGATTATTTTTGCCAGGATTATGAGATAAGTGATATTTGACTATGTAGCCTAGGAATCTTTGTGAATTTTCATGTTATTAGGCGATAGTTGACGACAGTAGATACTTTCTTTGTTTGCGACACGGTATAGAGGTCAGAGGTCATTTTTGGGAAAAGACTGATATGTGTTCACCTCCCTCTGACCAAAAATTCGTCACGCATGAGAGGGACGCATCCACTTCTATATTCTACGCTCACTAGTGGATTATTGATACAGACTATATTGCTACCGGTTATCAATACGAATAGGATAATTGTGGATTATGACAATACATACATATAAACTGGATAAAATTGTACTTTGTGTATCAATGGGAAAAAGGAAAAAGGACAATCGAAGAAAAAGCAGTAGTTCAGACACCGAAGGAAAGATATATAAACAGTCGAAATATGAAGGTCATTTAAACATTAGTGTGAGTGACGCGTTATCAGAAGCAAATAGTGTACTTTTTGACCTACAGCCTCACAACGATATGGCTAGTGGCATAGAAAAAAGCAGCAATCAGACGTCAACTATGACGTCATCAGCCAATCAAGGAAATGACTTGACTAGTTTCATGAGCGAAATGAGAGGCGAAATGAAACTTGTGTTATCAACTGTCAATGAAATAAAAAGCAGCCAAGATGGAATGAGAAAATCCTTTGATTCGAAACTTGACAGAATGAGAAATGAATTCATGACAACAATCGACAGCAAAATGAGAGCATTACGCGATGAAATTGGCATGGATATCAGTCGAGAAAGCAACCGTATAGATCAGCTTACGGCACGCTTGCAAACTATGCAGACACGACTGGACTCTGTTGAACAGGCACATGGCCCGAACATGAACACTGATAGCGAAGGTCAGGGTGGTGGTTTCCATGGCTACCCAGGTGGTGATAGCAATGACCCAGATTTATGTATAATAGCTAGCGGGATACCATATCAAGAGGGCGAGAACCTTCTGGAGAAGGTCAGTGGTATCATTAGCGCATTGGGTATCGACGTCTCGTCCGCCGTTGACATTACAGGAGCTACACGATTTAAGTCACGTATTCCGGGAAGGGTCGGTCATGTGAAAATCAGTTTCCGTAACGTACGCCAAAAAATACTAGTTCTCAGAAACAAAATGGCATTGAAAGACTCTGACCACCACAAAGACATCTACCTTAAAAGCAGTAAATCCCACGCAGAAAGGCTCATAGAACTCAATGCAAGAACTCTACTCCGCCAGCTGCCACAAGGAAATAACTTTCGCGTCGATGCCAACGGACGTATTCGTGCACGTCAGGGTCAGACCGCACCACTACAAAATGAACGCTCGCAACATGAATAGGAGACCTCCCGGTCCACTGGGTCCATAAGACTTGCACATATTAATGTATGTGGATGGACTAAAGAAAATCATATGTTACGCGAAAGCATTGTACGCGCAATAGACGCTGACGTAACGTCAATTTGTGAAACGCATCTTAGTGATCAAAACGTTATCAATATGCAAGACTATATGTGGTTAGGATTTAATAGAATGGATATTCATCGTGATGCTCCGAAATCATCAGGCGGCGTAGGATTACTTGTGAAATCATGGGTTTGTGAGGACTATAATATTAACGTGGTAGACAAAACGTATGACGGCATTATGGCCGTAAAATTTACTCATAAAGAAACGGACTTTGACTTTATGGTGTTCTCATGTTATCTTCCTCCTGAAAACTCAACCAGAGGTCGTGATGCCCAGTCATTTTACGCTCATTTACTGGCGCAGATCTACTTACACAACGAGTGTGATAGTATATTTATCGCTGCAGATTTCAACGCTAGAATCGGGGCCCTATCTGATGTAATTGACATTTGTGATTCAACACCTGCACGAAAATGCATAGACACTAGCATTAATCAGCACGGACATGATTTCCTGGATTTTTTAACCGACTCTAAATTTTGTGTACTTAATGGTCGCTTCGATGAAACGAACAATAATTTTACCTCAATTTCCCGTAAAGGAAAATCGGTTGTAGACTATATTTGTGTTCCGCACGATGTTCTCGTGAAGTGTAAGAATTTTACGGTATTAACTGTGCAGTCTATTGTTGACACGCATTCCTTGCACGGATTACTCGGGGCAAGATCCAAGTTACCAGACCACTCTGTTTTGATAACAGATTTTGAAACAGACTATAAAGATCATAGATCTTCAGACGAGACGACCCCCAGCAAAGCCCGTTATAATCTGCGGCGAATGCCTGAGGATTTCATGACCAGCGAAATGTCTAGACAGGCAATCACGAATATAATAACTGGTATTGAAAGAGCGCGAGAAAATCAAGATGATATTGACTGTATTTATGACAACCTATGCTGCGCAATAAAAAATGAAATGGAGGATAAAATACCCAAATACGGAATTACTAACCGGACTAATAAACGCTTTAAGCACAGAAAACCGTACTGGAACGAGGAACTACAAACACTGTGGAACTCTATGCGTATCGCAGAAAATGAATTCCTTAAATGCCGATCGGATAACCAAACAAGGACGCGCCTGCGTGTTAACTATACAAATGCCAGAAATATATTTGACAAATGCTTGAAGCAAACTGAACGGTTTTATAGGAGGTCAAAGGCACTCGACATCGAGGAAATGTCGACATCAAACCCTAACGAGTTTTGGCAAAAAATTCAGCAACTTGGTCCGCGTAAAGACAAAAGTATTCCGGTTGAGATCGTGGATGGTAGCGGAAACACGATTAAGGAGGAACATGTGGTTTTTGAGCGGTGGAGAAACGACTTCTACAACCTGTATAACTGCAATGAAAATAATGAATTCGATGAAATACATTATGATCGAGTGAAAATTCACAAATTGTTGCTCGAGAATGATATGAGTGACCCATTATACGAGTCAAACACAGAACTCAATTACAATATTACACCACAGGAAATAATGTGTATAGTGCAAAAAGCGAAAAGTGGATCAGCATGTGGAATCGACGAGATCCCTTATGATGTACTGAAAAATCCTGCTGTTATAGAGACAATTCACCATCTATTTCAACTTATTTTTGACTGCAGTATTATACCCTCTGTGTGGCGAAAGGCAGTTATTTGCCCAATACTGAAAGACCCAAATTCTGATAAGCGTGTTCCAATGCACTACCGCGGTATCAGTCTGTTGTGTTGTATTAGCAAACTGTACACATCTTTCTTGAACAAACGTCTTACAGGTTATTTGGAAAATAACGACATTCTCGCAGACGAGCAAAACGGATTTAGGAAGCAACGGTCATGTGAAGACCACGTGTTTACGCTAAACAGTGTTATACGGAACAATAAATCAGTGTTCACAGCCTATATTGATCTTAAAAAATGTTTTGATTACATAGATAGAGACATGCTACTATACAAACTGTTGATAAATAACATAGACGGCAAACTGTATAACTCGATTAAGAATATATACGCAAGCTCAGTGTCGTGCATACGTATAAATAACAAGCTTACAGACTGGTTCAGCTGCTTGTCAGGCGTGAAACAAGGCTGTAATTTGTCCCCGACATTGTTCTCCGTATTCGCTAACGATCTTGCACGTGAAATCAACGACCTTGACCTTGGAGTAACGATTGGTGACATTAAACTTTCCTTGTTAATGTACGCAGACGATATTGTCTTAATGGCGGATAGTGAGGAGAAATTACAGTCCATGTTAGACACTGTTAGTAGCTGGTGCCAACGCTGGAGAGTACTTATCAATGCAGATAAATCTAAATGCATGCATTTTCGCAAGGGCCGGGCACAACGAAGTGACTTTGAATTCAAAATCGGCAACAGTACTCTGGAAACAGTTGAAAAATACAAATACCTAGGGGTTATATTCCATGAAAAGAATGACTTTACTTTAAACAGTGAATCTCTTGGTAAAGCAGCCGGTCGAGCTCTCGGTGGCATCATTAACAAGATACACAACCTGAAAGACTTTGGCTTCAAGTCATACGAAAAATTGTATCTCTCCTGTGTTGTGCCTATACTGGACTATTGCTCATCAGTATGGGGCTTTAAGAAATATCAAGCAACAGACAATGTCCAAAACAGAGCCATGCGGTACTTCCTTGGTGTCCATCGCTTCACGCCTATTCTTGCGATGGTTGGTGACACTGGGTGGATACCTAGTGTTCACAGACGATGGGGAAATATTCTACGACTGTGGAATAGATTAATATTGATGGACGATTCGAGAATTACAAAGAAAGTGTTCAATATTGACTACGCTAAATGCAACAATAATTGGTCTTCCGACATAAAACATGTTATGACTACACTTGGATTAAACTCAAATTACGACAATAGAACAGTTATCAACTTATCACATGCTAACGGTTTAATAGTGACCAAATATTCCAATATTTGGTCAGAAGATGTCCAAACAGTGCCAAAACTAAGAACTTACCGAATATTTAAAGACAGCTTTAAATGCGAAGACTATGTATTGTTGAACTTAAACAAGAACGAAAGATCGATACTGTGTCAATTTAGAACTGGTATTCTACCGTTAAGAATTGAAACAGGACGTTACATTGGAGAACAGCCTGATCAGAGATTATGTAGACTTTGTACCTCGAATCGTGTAGAAGACGAGAAACACTTCCTTTTTCAGTGTGAACAGTATAAAGACTTGCGTGAAAATACGTTCAGAACTCTTTTTGATTTCGTTAACGATCCTCTCATGGACATGAATCAGAGACTATCTCATATTGTTTCAAACTACCCTAGAAAACTTGCAAAATTTCTTATATCCGCATACCTTAAAAGAAGAAGTGTCTTGTTCTCTTAGTAATCAATTAACCTTGATAACTAATTTTGACTTAAACCATTATATACATATAGTCTTATATATTTAATTAAAATGAACCCATTTTGCAATGAATGTGTGTATAATATAATTATGTAATATTGTAATTCAAAGTTTTCTTTGTTTCACTATATGTCTGTGTCCGTACTATTATTGAAACTATACCTCTTTTTATATACATAAACACGATATATTTAACGCAAGTTCAGTAACGTAATATTGTTATTCGAATATTAAATAGTGTGATCACTCTTTCACCAGTTCAGTAACACAAATTTCTAAGTGATATAAACTTTCAAAAGTAAATTGTTTTCCAAATCCCAACCTTCTCAGTAACGAGTGTTGTATATGTAATTTAAATGTATATAATGCTATGTACTTGAATAATGTATATATATGCATTATGATAATTACAATATTTGTAATATGTCGCCTAAATTATATATGTATAATAATAAGCACAATAATTGTAATATGTCGCTCAAAGTACCTTAGTAACTAATTAGTTGTTGATATTTGATAACGTAAGAAAATATATTACCAGTGTTTTGTACATGTACTTCAGATCATCCTATGTATAAAAGAAGTAACTTTGTTGAATTATGTAAATAATGACATCATTGATTTCCCGGTGACATATAGGCCCAAAGGGCCGGGTGCCTTTTCTTTCATCTGTATATTATGTATCTATGTCATTTATGCACATGTCACGATAATAAACTATATCTTATCTTATCTTATCTATTTCAAATGATACACATTTTAACCGTTCTACAATTCATTTCATTGCAGACGATTCGAATCAATCATTGAGATCCAATAATCGTCTCGAATAAATGAATCTTTTGTAACATAGGAACATTATAATTCCATATAATAAATCATTTATCCATAATTTTCATTTAGTAATGATTAAATATTTACAATAAAATCGTTTCTATGATAAGAACCTTATATACATGTGTATGTATATGTTTGTGTCATACACTGTTCGTTATTGTGCATGATTTATGTCCGCATGGGCTTTACAGCCTATTGGAATAAAATAAAATGTTTACTGTCTATTGTATGACATAATTATATTATTACCTGTTATTTTCCTTGTTATTTATTATAACAACTGATGAGGCTTATCAATAAAGCGAAATATGTTTTCATAAACTGAATTGGTTTGTGATATTTTTATCCTGTAATTATATGCCACATTTCCTGGATATAAGTTATTTGTTCAAATAATCTGTAAGAACAGAATAAGTAGATTTGATTTTATCTCACCATTTTCAGCGTTGTTGTCTACAGTAGAAGCTGCCGGCGTCTGCAATGAGACATGTACATGTAAGAATTCCTTATTCATGCTGTATTCTTACCTTTTATTGTTAACTTGTCACGATGATCTATTATGCTCATCCATAGTTTAAAATAATGAAAATAATTCACATTAATATCTGGAAAAAAGTGATCCCTCGGAAACATTAAAAGCAGAATAATTACATAAAAAATGAAGCTGTACGTGAGGGATAATGAAAAAGTGCAAAAGCTCTAGCACCGGCTTAAGCAGTTCTCAATTCTCAACACTTAAAAGTACTGAAGTCAAAGATCCCGAAGATCGTTTTAAAAATTATGAATATGTTTACGTCTTGTCAAAGAAAAGTGTCTTGAAATATAAAATTTACATAATTTTATATTACTTAACTGTTCCTCATTCCTTTATTTTTGCCTAGTAAAATGTCATTTAAATTTTGTATAATGACAATAAGTTATTGTACCTGTACATGCAACAGTAGCAGGAACACTGTTAATAATAGTTTTGTTGATGTTTTATTTTTGTCACTCATATCTGCGGGAATTACGGATATGGTACGAACGATCAGAACTAATTAAATGCTGTACGTAGAGATTTTTCCATGCAAAACTTTACTGTCAGACCAACCCATACATCCCAAATCAGAATTAGTTTTATATTAAAATCCTCAGAATCAACATTCAACTCTGTACCGCAATCAAGATACATAAGTTTGCAAAGGGCATCGATTTGTTGTGAAATGCATAGAAAGCATTAACATGAAACATACAACTTGAAATTATTATTATATGTTGCATCAGCAATAAGCTCTTCGTTATCTGGCCTATTTGATATTTACCAATTAGAATGTGCATATCTGGATCTATGAAAAATCAAAATGATTATTTGAACATAAATGAGAATATTAAGTAGAACATTTTCTTTGAGGAAGTATAAGCAAAATAAAATGAAAATAATTAACAACACGCCTTTAGCTTTTTAAGTATAGAAAAGTTTGGTTTCATGCTGAATTACTGGGTCATATGACCATTTCATTTGTTTTGTTTTTTCAAGCTTCATGGGGAAGCATTTATGTACATTACTGTAAAAAGGGACAGGAGTGTTGCGGTAAAAAATGTATGCCATATGGGGCAGACTGTTGCAGCGGTTCAGAATATTGTGACAACGCAAGTACATGTTGTGCTGGAGATGTGTGTTGTTCTCCTGAAAAAGTCTGCAAAAATGGTGCTTGTGTTATTAAAGAGTAAGTATCATATTATGATAATTTATATATGCGCATGATCAAAACTTTACTTAATTGATCTTTATGCATCAATCAAATTGAAGCGCATGTATTGGTTTAAAACGAAATGGCGGACAATTCAGATGTTAACACGTAAAGTAAACGGACTAACATGTAAAATTGAAGGCAATTTAAAGCACACGGCTGTTGTATAAAACTAAAAGAAAGCAAATAAATGTGACTGAATCCCATTTAGGAGTTAACATTTCGTGAAGGAAACACAAAATTACCTCATAAAAACTGCATGCATCACATTAACCCGTATCCTTTTAGTAACTTATGACACAGTAGTAGTTTTGATGTCTTATGTATACCGAAAATCAAAAACAAATGAGTTTTTTTATGTTTTATTGTACTTATTCTTATTTATATCAAAGAAAGCTGAAAGTCGCTTCAATACGTTAGACAGGTCGTCATTCTCACAACGTATTTTAAACTCACAATGACTTTTCCAGAAATATACGCATGAGGTTTAAAATATAATGAGAAAAACGGAATTCCTAAAAACCGCTCAAAATGGCAAAAATAAAAAATGATGCAGACTCAGTCTTAACAGACGTATGCGCCAAACTAACTCGCTAAAAATATATTGGTCCTTTGCTTACCGTGTTGATCATTTCTGCAATCGATTTACTCAATTTGGTATGATTTTTGTACAATTCATTCGTTATTTAGCAAGAATAATACCATTCAATTAAAACAATAACTATATATATGTTTATATACATTGACGTTATAATGTATAAATTTTACAAAACCAGACAGAACGAACAAACTTACAAACACACAAATGTGAACATCAGCTGGTGGTATATTCTACTCATCATAGCGGTGTGTGTGGCGTTTCCTGTCGCTGTTTTCATATGGAAGCGAAGACGTGCACGAATCAGAGGTTGGTTTAACTTGTACTTGATAAGCATCATATAGAGACAAAAATCCATGTATACTTATATAGAAATAGAAAAGAGAAAAACAGAATTCATTAAGATCGCCAAAATAGACGAAATTGAAAATGTTGCATTGAGTCTGTTCATGGACGGTGGTAGTGTAGTAATTGCAAGGTGGTGGTTTTATAACATTCATTAAAGTGTATAAAGCAATATATTTGCTGCAAAAATTATTGTTAAATTTTAAAAGAAACCTTCAAAAATGCTTGTAAAATTAAAAATGGTAGTGAATTACCTTAAAAATGAATGGTGCATACACGAAGTAATTTCTAAACAGATAAAATAGCAGAATAATATTTTGTCCTGGAACATTTTATCCTGTTTAGTAAAATATTAATGTGAGTTAAAATGTTTCTAAATTCAAAAAATCACCATTACCATGATTAAACGTACCGTCCATTAACAGGCTCAATCAAACCGAGCCTGCAACATTTTCAATATTGTTTTGTTGGGCTTTCTTTAGGGATTCTTTATTTCTCTCTATTTTAAATAACAGATACATATATGATACAAATCTTTCGAGAATCAACAATAAGATTACGACATCAGCATAATTTTATTGTTGATACATTTTGTAAAAACATATTTTATAAGTGAAGTGAAACAGCTTGAATTTCATATAGTCCAAGCGGTTTCACTTTATGAAAAAAAAACCCAACTAGTATAGGTTATTTGCTAGAATTAACAAGTTCTACATTTAATCCCATTTAAAAAAAAGAAAGATTTAAAATGTTATTAAAGTATATGTTTCCTAGACCGACGTTTGTTATTTTCACGAAAACACGTTTTCTGTTTCAGCTAATACTCAGCCTAGCAGAATTGTTATGGTACATAGTAATCCAGTCCATACACCGGTGCAATCCACAACTGTTTTCGGACGTACAAACGGACAGCCACAAAACATTGCTTTTATTGTAACAAAGTGAATATAACAAGAGAGTGGCAATGCTTTTCTCATGTTTAAACATCTTGTGAACACTGCAACTAAAGTCAATGTCCTTCCTAATAAAACTGTGTGATCAGACAACATGCTAAACATAGGATAATAATCTTATATTAATGGTTGAAATTAACACACAACTCTAACGCATTTTACATGATAAATAATTAAAGACACTGAAATCATAACATCAGATGTAACAAAGTAAATATTAGTAAAACGAAAATAGAGATCTGCTTTTATAGCCTTTTTTAGGTTTGGACCTCAAAGTTTGATTTTTCAATAAATTGTAAATATGCCAGGTTTTTATACTCAAACCATCGATGTTTAGGTCATAACCACTAAGTCATGACATCCCTATCTTTTGTTTTTATAAAATATGCGTTATTTACAGTGGTGAAGAAATTATAGAAACATTAATACCTTCATAAACGCCTACAGTAAATCAAAAATGTTTACCGACTGGTAGCTCCTTACTTTTCTGTATTGGTATATTTTTCTGTTCCTTCAGGAAGGTGCTAGAGGCGTGATCTGTTGCACTGCTCATTATTTCTAATAAACAGACTCAATAAAACCGAGTTGGTGATTTCTCTAGAGTTATTTCCCCTTTTTAATAGTTCATTAAAATCTGGAAACAAAGTGAAGATTGAGTCCTGATCATGAACGGCAGTGGTAAATACACCTACTGTCAATGCATATGCATGTAGTTCCAGCTAAAAGCAGAACTGAGAGTTTTTAAACATGATCAAAGTGTTTTAATTAAGAAACGACTCAAAGTGGTGATGATGATCATTTTGCGACGCGTGTATGCTCCCGAAGTAAATAAAAGTTGTACACTTAATATGCTAAAAATGGGCTAAAATTTTACCATGGCATTATGTTTTTTCCCGTTAATTTCATTTTAAATGTCCTGGTTTCTTTGTTTTAAAACATTTACGGAGAAAGTCAAACAAAGGAGTGAGAACTTTTATCAAAGACTCTTTAAATATGGTGAAAAATACATATTTAATAATTAAACTTACATACATTGTAAATGTAAATAAAGTCCCATGACATAAGTGTGTGATATATTCTATCCCAACGGAATAGTTTTAACTTTTTAACAGAGACACAGTTCCTCTGTTTAGAAATGACAAATAAACAAGAAAGTCGGGATGGGTTATAAATGTCGTATTGAACAAGGTGCACGCACCGTGTTTGTTTTGATGAAAACCAAGCTGATTATTATTCCAGTGTATTTACTGTGTCAAGTTACGTCAATGTTAAAAGTATAAATGTATATAACACTGCATTACATGACTACAATGTGTTTAGTCGAATAACATATCACTGTAGATTATTTTTGTAAAAAATATGATTTCCTGCAATAAAAAAAAAGAATTTGTTGGTTTTTTTTACCACGAGGATTTGACAGATTAGATAAAGTAAAAAAACAGAACCACAAACAACTTGTGTTTCAAATGTAGCCAATATATTAAAATGCTCATGAAGCACAAACAATTATATCAAATGGTAAAATGATTTAAAACTATTCACTTTAAATGCCCTACTAACCACAGCTTTAATGAACTTGTAGCAAACTCATACTTCACAAGACGATTTTTAAATGATTTTATGGTTATCATATTTATTCTATACATAATTCTCATACCTATAAGGCTCCAACCTCTTGTCATTTGATCTTCTGTCTTGATTGTTTTCATATTCTTTACTTGCTTTTCGCGACTCTCGTCGTCTGTTTAATTGATCGTCGATCCACACAATTATCTATAGTCTGTGAAACTTTTATTTCTGCTTAATCTTATAGTTTAATATGTTCTGATAATTTTATACATGTTTATATCAGTTACATAACCAAAATGAACAATTCTTTTCCGATTTATCTTCATCCATCCTTCATGACGTCACGTTTGACCCTTTCAACAACTTATGCTTACTTTGTGTTGTTTTTAGGATACTTATTAACACTGCCGTCATTTTGGCCAATCGGAACACCTAAATAATCATTATAATCTCTGGTGCTGAATGTGAAATCATTTGTCACAAATGTAGCAAAATGTAAGCAAAGTATGATTTTGACTTCTATACATAATATTTAAGGACACCAAGAATAAAAATAAAAACTTTTGAGAAATTTAAATAAAAACATTTGGGATACATAATGTATTGCATCTTTCATTGCTGATCACTGCTTTCATATTTTTGCTCCTCGTACTTGCAGTCAATGATGTTATATTTTTATCCTCAATGGATTGTTTGGCATTCACTATTTGTATTACTGTGTCCTGTTTCTTGCAAATACTATTTTTTGAATTATTTATGATATCGTCCCGACCGTGCTCTACCCTTGTGTTACCTCATGTTTTTGTTTGTTGACCTGCCTGGCTCCTTGCCGGTGCTCTTGTGTTGCTAGGTTGTAGTGGGTGATGCGTTAACTGAAAGCCATCCTTCCTTGTTTATCTCTGTTTGCATGTTTTTATAAAAAAACTCATAAAGTTACAGTGTTCTTTTATGAATTCACTTTGCAAAGTAGCCCCCTAATCTGAATATAACCTTACGGGAATGCCAAGACAAAGTAAAAAGGAAATTATTGTACAAAGGCTGTTCTTTTGGTTGTTAGATTACTTACTTTGTCAGCAATTGTATATTCTGTATAATTATCGGTTATGATAAGACTGCTTCCATAATTTACAGACAAGCAACACAAACAAGCTATTATGGATAGGTTGTGTTGACATTAGTCGAGTTCGCTTTTGTTTTAATGCAATCTACGTTTAATGTATTTGTCGTATTTCCACTGATCGCATTCAGAATATATGCCAAAATAAGGTTTATCGTTATCTTAACTTGCCAATAGTTTTTTTCTTCTTCTTAACTATGTGAATTATGCATTATGCAATCCTTTAAGCATATTTTTGTACCAGTTTGGTATCAAGCTGTTCTTCTTTATCCTTTATAATAAGTTTCTACTTTAATTGCAAAAATGTTTAAATTGCCTACTTATAGTTGTATTTCCTTATTAAATAATAGAAATACTACATCTTTAGAGCGCTTTATTAAAAAAATCAATTGAAGGATGCTGGCTTTGCATCATTTTAGGTAGACCCTCAACATCTTCTATAATTTCTGCATCATGATATCACAGGACGGACAGTGGTTCTTGTAATGACAACACAGAAAGCTGGTGCAATGACCTTGAATGATCGAAATTAAATCATAAATGTACTTTGGTGAGTTGTACCTATCACACACATTTTGTCAGGTCGACATATTTTTAACGTCTATCACCTGATCAATCCTAACCTCATAAGTTTGAAGTTATTTTGAATTAATTATCGGCCACCGGACTTAAACACTTGTATTTAAATGTACGTATCACGTATAATAAACTGACAATATCTTTACTTCTGCCAGGAAGTCTCACTTGACAGATTGTATTTAATCGTGCATTTTAAAAGGATGTTGTCCTTTTTGTATGATTTTTTTTTCAAATTGACAATACTTAAATTGAAGCTGTACAAACAAAGGGACAATTTATGATAATAAAAGTAATAATAATAATAATAATAATAATAATAATAATAATAATAATAAATAATAATAATTATAATAATAATAAATAATAATAATAATAATAGTAATAATAATAATAATAATAACAATAATAGTAATAATGATAATGATAATCGTTATCAAACAAACGTGTGTAACATTTATAAAAAAAAATTCATACATCAATTCACCTTGGCTGAATATGCTTTTGTAAAACCTAATCTAAATTCATACCTTTTAAATGATAATAATTTGAAGAAGTTTTGTCATTTACGGCGACAGGCTAGCATATAACCGCTTCAGTTGATACAAAAGAAATGCACTTCGTTTTAAGATAAAACACGTCGGTAATTTTCGTTGTTTTTCATATTTTATATATTTTTATATTCTAATATACAACTGGAACTAGAAGCATTAATTTCTTTCCAAATGATTATGCACTGTCTTTTTTAAGTTATAAGGAGGACAATATATTATCATGACCACAACGATATTTATTTTTCATTACAAAGTATTAATATTATTTCAGGATCCATAATTCTAAATGGATATTTGTTGTTAAATATATTTTATCAGCTGTCATAGACTATCTAGCTTCGGATAAATTCGTATATTTGTTATTACAATATATGTGACATTGGCGACAAGGTTACGTGCTGAAACACAGCAAATGAGTAAATTATCACCATCATCATCATTAATCTTATTATTATAATAATTATAAGTGTTATTTATTTGAAGTTTTAAAAACATCCTGTCAATAACTGACGTCACAAATATGGTTTTATATTCTATAACTTGAACTCTTGATCATTATAACATTTTGTTTTATGAATCCAAGTTATGAAGTTATTGGTTATTCCATTCGTTTGTGCAGGTAAAAACTAAATTAACTGCTTATAATTAATTAAACAAAGACAGTATTTAAGAGTTATTTCAGAAATATTTTTGATTTATTCAATTATCTTTATATTCTCGTGATAGCTTTCAACAATGACTAAATACAAAATATTTTAAAGTTTTTACTTGTGCAATATATTCAACTTATCATTTAAATGTTTCATTCTTTAAAAAAACTCACTATCACTTAAGTCATTGAAGTTGTTGTTCGATCAATAGTCACCGACAATGTACAGGTAGTTTATCGTAACAAAGAAACGTTTTTAATTGCTAAACATTTTTTATATTTATCTATATTTTATTTGTTTTTGTTTGTTTGATTGAGCTTTACGTCACACCGACACAGTATAGGTCATATGGCGACGTTCAAGCTTTACTGGTGGAGGAAGACCTCATGTGACCTTTCGTCACGAACTGGCGCCTGAGTAGAACCAACGAAGTTCCGTAAGCTAGCTGGATACCTTCCTCACATGAGAGAATAACATAACATAAGTTTATAAATGAATCACATGTGAACAGCACATTGATTAACATATATGACTACATTTAACATGCATAAAATATATAATTGAAGCATATTGAACATAATACATGTATTATGTAAATAACATCTTAAAATATTTCAGTTAGATACGGCGCCTGTCATGTACAGATATTCATTATGAAAGTAGTACATGTATATAAATTGAATATTTGATAACATACTATTTGTAAAAGCTTAATTTTAATATTATATTTATCTCGCCATGTTTTATAGCGTTGTTGTCTGAAGCAGAAGCTGATGTCTGTAATGATAGATGTACATGTATGTATTCTTGTTCGTTTTTTTTCCTGTTTAATTATACCAAAATTATTACGAGGACGAGACAAACAGAATCATTACGATAATTAAAAATTTTCTACCCAAAAGAGATGTTTCTATTAAGCTTTATCTAAATTTATTAAACATTCTTCATGATATACTCCTCTGTAGGAAATCAAAAGAACAAAAAACCCTTTCCATGATTTTTTAAAATATTGATTGCATCAAACACATTAATCAAAACATGAGTTTCTTTATGTGTTATTGAATTAACAATACTCTGGGTGTTTTAGTTTCTTAATTTTGTATAATGATAAATGTGCAAGTAATAGTTAACAAGATACTAAAATATATGTTATATTGTTGCAGTGACTCAGGTGTGCGGGAGTGATGGGAAATGCTTTGAACGCTCGCACTATGTAAAATGCCGTAAGTATAATTATTTGTTAACATTTATTCAGTGGACACAAAATCAAATGCTAAATAAAAAAAAATAAGATTTTCTCGTTTTTAATCATCTACCAGCAATGTACGATATGAAATTAAAAACAATATAAACGGTACAAAAGGATGTGTTATATAGGCACTGAAAGGTCAATGTCATATAATGCATTTTAATCTTATATAGTAATTTTAACAGTACTAAGCGTGCAATTCACCGAAACGTGATACACTTTATTGTTTTATTTAAAGGATAACTTAGTGGTGTATCAAGGTGCTAATACATAGGTACTGTCATGTTAATTATTTTAAGTCATTTGTGTCACTTTTAATGTCTTTGATGATGGATGCAGGATATCGGTACACATCTTCTTGTTGTAAAATTATTAAAGATGAAATAAAAAGTATAAAACTATTAAAAAATCAAATAAATGATGTTTGCTAACATATCTAAATAAATATTTTTTAATTAGCTATCATTTCATTCAAATTTAATAGCCTCGTGGGGAAAAGCACAGGAATATTACTGTAAAATAGGCCTTGCTGAGTGTTGCGATAGTAAATGTATGCCATTTGGGTCAGTGTGTTGTGGTAATGACGAATATTGTCAGAAGGGATATACATGTTGTAAAGGAGATCATTGTTGCCCACCTGGATCATACTGCAATAATGTTAATTCGTGCAGCAAGTAAGAATAGTTTTATATGGTTATATACTTGAGCGTCATCAAAACTTTTAATTTCAATTTTCAAGTGAGTTGACAAAGTTTCATTACAATAGTTATCATGCAAATAACATCGATCTGTTGATCTGTTGAAATTTTAGCAATTATGACAGAGGTCCTAGAGTTAATGTCTTAGATCTTACATTTTAAAAGTTGTATCATTGAAGACAGTAAATATATTTGCTCCTTTTCTCATAGTCTGTTTATGGAAGGTGGTAAATAAAGAAAGAGATTCAAAATGATTGATTTAGCAAATTGTTTTACATAATTGAATAAGAATTTCAAACCATACAATGCATGTATATTTGAATATCTCTTAAAAGTACATATATCTATGTCTTTTATATTAAACTAATAGAAAATCGAGCTTTTTTTGGTGGCATGGTGTCATAATCATAGTGGCAGTTGCAGTATTTGTCGTCGTTTTTGCTGTCATATGGAGACAAAGACGTTCAAGGTTCATAGGTCAGTTTAACTTTTACTTGACATCCGCATCTTTACGTAGAATTTTAAATTGCCGATGCGTTTATTGAATACCACCCTTCCTTGTTGTTGTTTTTGTCATAGTTGAGATTGTTAGATATATCGAAGGTCGATTTTAAGGAAAACGTATTTGAACCACTCGAATCCGCTTTCTGAACCAAGTACTGATATCATGTGATAAAACAAAGCGGTCTCCCCTGTAGGGCTCGAACCTATGGTATCTTGTCGAGAGTGTGACTAATTACTGGCCACCGCTCTCTGGGTATTTCGATACGTGAAGTATCAATATATTTACCAAGTAACTACTGTACTGGTGATAAGTTACCCCTGCAGAGTTATCAATGAGCAAATGTTTATATATATATTGACACCAACTTTCCTGTACCATAACACGTTTTCTCTTTCAGCGAATAATCAGCCTAGTGGAGTTGTTATGGTAAATAACCCAGGACATACCATGATGCAATCTACAAATGTTGTCGGACAACCACAAAACGTTGCTTTTGTTCTAGCAAAGTGAATAGACAAGTTATATTAACACGCTAGTGGCAACGCTTATCACAACATCTATGTTTTAAACATCTTGACAATGCTAGTCGGAGTCCTGTTATAATTGTCTGATCAGAAAACTTGCTATACATTCACTATTACATTGTTTCAAGGACGACATCATTATACGTCAACATTTATTATGCGTGATATACGTTTCGTTGCTGAGTATTCATACAGAATTGTATTTCATTTCACTCATTCTGAAAGGGATTGGCCTACATTTGACACATTTTCCATAAGAATTTCAAACATTGATAGAAATAAAAGAAATGTACTATGTATATGTTAGTGTTCATCCGTGCTGTTCTACAGAAAAAGAAACTTCGCCGGGAGCGATAGCGACAGGAGAATGTTTCTAATTTCTGTAGAACATCTAAGGATGAACACTAACATATTTAGTGTCAAGCTTTATTTGGCCCGTGATTACGACACTACCACTATGAAAAATAGAAAGCGACTATGAACGGATTTCAATATAGTATCGGCTTTTTTTCTTCTATGAAAGTTAACACACATAATTTTTAAGAAATACAGCGTTTTCATTGGATGACAAATAAAGCTGGACACTAAACAGTATATTTAGATATTCTTATAAAACATTCTTGGAAAATAAATTTGATAGAGTTAAAAGCGATTAAGTATGAATAATTATAAATGTAATGATACTATTTTATTCTGTAACAATTTATTATTTGCTATATACATGTTTAAATATGTAATGTCATGTAGCTAACACTTATAAACAATATTCTTATAAATTATTTTTGTTGTTTGTTTTCAAGTATTATACTATATAATATTGTATTTTATTATATAATCTATAAATAGCTTTGAAATGCCTTTCCCTGATTGGCTAACAAGCATTTTTTTGTAAAAAATAACAGGTCAATATCAGAGTATATTCACTGTTTTTTTCCTAAAAATAGATTTTCAGAGTATATTCACCGGTTTTTCTTCTAAAAATGATTTTCTGAAAATTCCCCGAAAGACGCCAGACTATGACGTGACGTCACGCCAAGTTTGTTGTTATATATTATTCTGAAAAAAATGTTGGATGACTCTTAAATAAGAGTCAAATTAGTCTATTTAAGTTACAGTCTTTACATTTTAAAGAACACTAACAATATCCTTGCTAATGCGCTCATTTAAAAGATAGGGCCAATTTATGGAAAAATTAGACAAGCTGAAAAATGTCGATTTCCGTCGTATGTAGGCAATGGCAGATTTAATAAGCCATATAAAAGCTATTTATAAATTATATAATAAAACAGTTATGTACTTTTTAGCTGGTGAATATGATGTGATATGTACTGAAAAATTAATATTGACCTCGGCTATCGCCTCGGTCAATATTAATTTTTTCAGTACATATCACATCATATTCACCAGCTAAAAAGTCCATAATTGTATAATATACCTGCAATTATAGACAAATTCACTAGAACTTATTCAAAGACTATGTCAACATGCAATTTTTATATATTTCACATCGTCATATTTTCTATAATAAAAATAATAATAATAATAATAATAATAATAATAATTCAATACATAAATTAATACTCGCCTAACAAAGAGGCCTAGAAGATAATCATCAAACTATTTTAGGTTGAGTCACCACACTTACAATGTGTAGGTCATATGGCGAATGCCTTGTCTAGTTGAGGATGGATGGCTTTTAACTAACATAAAATACTCAATAATTTCATTTCATTCGCGTATTAATCCGATATAAGTAATCTTGAAAAAAAAACTAAATTGCCTTCTAACAGTTCTTTAAGTACTTTTCAATATAAACAAAGCCCATAATACTAATTTTCTAATTAGATGTGTGTGGGAGGGGGTGCGATTGGAGTTGAGTATTATTCAACACTCAATCTTTAGTCTTTGGTCAAATATTCTATGGATCATTTCACTGGAACCATGTTGATTAGAGATAATAAAGATGTATTAAAACAAAAAAAGGAGCAAAAAGCTACTAAATATCGTTCCAACTTTTTAAGTGTACATAGCAGAATGAAACGCCAGGAATTGTGCAAAAAGTAACGCCAAATCTTTAAAAGAAAAAACAATTAATGCGTATTTTAACATTCCTATGTACCCGATATAGACATGAAGATAAAGTAGTCATACTAGTATAGCGTTTGTCACTCTTCGACGGTCTGTCCCTGATACTAGTTTTAAGAAGGAACAAAATCCACAACTCCTAGTTAAAGAGGCATTAAACATAAAGATCACGTTCTAGTAATTCAACATGACAGCAAATGGATTTTTAGCTCGACTATTCGATAAGAATAAGTAGAGCTATTGTAGTCACCCGAGCGTCGGCGTCCGCGTCGGCGTCGGCGTAACCACTTATGTTAAAGTTTTTGTAATAGTTTAAATATTTCAAATTTCATTGAAATATGGCTTTGAAACTTTGCACACTTGTTCACCATCATTACGCCAACCTGTAAACAGGAGGAGGTAACTGTATCAAGCATTTTGACAGAAGTATGCCCCTTTTTCGACTTAGAATTTACGTTAAAGTTTTTGTAATAGTTCAAATATTTTCAAAGTCCATTGACCTATGGCTTTTAAACTTTGCACACTTGTTCACCATCATTACCCCAACCCCAACCAGTTAGATGACCACTGTGTCATCGACTTTCTCTGCCAGCCAGTCTGAGGGGGAGAGAAGATTTAAACTTTTACATGCCCGTGCTCCTGAACCTGCGTACGTACGTTTGTCCGTCTCGAAATCTTTAATTTTACTCCATAAATAATTTAGTCAGGGTCATGAAATTTACATGAACGTTTTGGTACGCATTATGTTATTGCGCACCTGGGGTTTCGCTTGTCGATTCGGGCAGTCATGACAGAGTATAGCCCTTGACTTAGTCAATTCGGAAATTGTTAACTTGTGTTGCGTGTAGCTTCGACAGTATTTGAACTAGGGGCATGGTTATGAAACTTGAATGAAGTTCTTCACCTGAGATTTAGCTTGTCGATTCCCGTAGTAATGCAGGAGTAATTGTCCTTTGCAATTTTTACTAGTGTCGGCAGTATTTTCAGTGACGTTGCCGTCTGCATTATAAGACGTGCAAGAATCAGAGGTTAGTTTAACTTGTACATGATAAGCATGAAATAGAGACAAACAAAATTATGTATACCTAGTATATAGAACTAGAAAAAAGAAAACATAATTTATAAAGATCGCTAAAACATACGAAATTGAAAATGTTGTACTGAGCTTCTTTATGGACATTAGTAGTGGTAGTAGTAATTGCAAGCTGGTGGTTTTATAATATTCATTAAAGTGTATAAAGCAATATACACGTATTTGCTGCAAAAATAATTGTTTAAATTTTAAAAGAAACCTTCCATATATGTTACCTATACCGACTTTTGTTATTTTCACCATAACACGTTTTCTGTTTCAGCTAATATTCAGCCTAGCAGAATTGTTATGGTACATAGTAATCCAGTCCATACACCGGTGCAATCCACAACTGTTTTCGGACGTACAAACGGACAACCACAAAACATTGCTTTTATTGTAACAAAGTGAATATAACAAGAGAGTGGCAATGCTTTTCTCATGTTTAACACTACGGCTAAAGTCAATGTCCTTCCTACTAAAACTGTCGTATTAGACGTAGGATACACATAATTGTAACTTATTCTGTACATTGGATGATAAAAGACACTGCGATGATAAAATCAATTGTAAAAAAGTAGATAAAACTAAAATAGTATCACAGCCACTTATGTTAAAAGCTCAGTTTTTTTTTTTTAATAAATTATAAATAGGTCAGGATTTTTACTCAGATGTTTAGGTCATAACCACTAAGTCTTAACATCCCTATATTTTGTTGTTGTTTTTTTATATAAAATATGTGGTATTGATATGGATTAAGAATATTGAATCATTAATGAATGCCTAAAAGTGAAAACGGTAAATCAAAGAGTGTTACAGACTGGAACCTCCGTATTTTCTCTGTATTGATGTGCTTTTCTGTTCCTTCGGTAAACCACGTAAGAAGGTGCTAAAGGTGTAATATGTTGCATTGTTCATTCTTTCAAATAAATATACACAATAAACCTAGTTTGCGATTTGTTTTAATTTCGACAGAGTAATTTCCCCTATCTAGAATTTTACTCAGTACTTACCATTCATGAACGGCAGTGGTAAATGCAATTCCAGCGAAAAGCAGAACAGAGTTCTTAAACATGATTTTCCACTTTATATGTAAAAATGTTTAAATTGCCTGTGCATAGTTGTATTTTCCTTATTAAAAATAGAAATACTATATGGCATTTTACTATCCATGACCGCTTTCATCCATTTTTTTTTTCAATTGAAGGATGCTGACTTTGCTTTATTTTTAGTAATATCCTCAACATCTTCTATAATTTCTGCATCATGATATCATAGGACGGACACTGGTACTTGTAATGACAACAAATAAAGTTGGTGCAATGGCCTTGAAAGATCAAAATAAACTCGTAGATGTACTTTGATGAGTTGTACCTAACACACATCGACAGAGTTTTAACGTTTATCACCTGATCAATCCTAACCTCATGAATCATGCACATGAGACCAGTATGATCTTATTTGAATTAATTATCGGCCACCGGACTGAAACACTTGGGTTTAATTGTAAGTATCACGTATAATAAACTGATAATATCTATACCTCTTATTTTATAATACTTTCAGGAAGTCTCTCTTTACAGATTGTATTTAATCGTGCATTATAAAAGGATGTTGTCCTTTTTGTATGATTTTTTTTTTCAAATTGACAATACTTAAATTGAAGCTGTACATTAGGGACAATTTATGATAATAATAATAATAATAATAATAATAATAATAATAATAATAATAATAATAATATAATAATAATAATAGTAATAATAATAACAATAATAGTAATAATGATAATGATAATCGTTATCAAACAAACGTGTGTAACAATTATAAAAAAATTCATACATCAATTCACCTTGGCTGAAAATGCTTTTGTAAAACCTAATCTAAATTCATACCTTTTAAATGATAATAATTTGAAGAAGTTTTGTCATTTACGGCGACAGGCTAGCATATAACCGCTTCAATTGATACAAAAGAAATGCACTTCGTTTTAAGATAAAACACGTCGGTAATTTTCGTTGTTTTTCATATTTTATATATTTTTATATTCTAATATACAACTGGAACTAGAAGCATTAATTTCTTTCCAAATGATTACGCATAGTCATTCTTAAGTTAAAAGGAGGACAATATATTATCATGACCAAAGCGATATTTATTTTTCATAACACAATATTAATATTATTTCAGGATCCATAATTCTAAATGGATATTTGTTGTTAAATATATTTTATCAGCTGTCATAGACTATCTAGCTGCGGATAAATTCGTATATTTGTTATTTACATATTTTACAACAATAAAAGTTACCTTGGCGACAAGGTTACGTGCTGAAACACAGCAAATGAGTAAATTATCACCATCATCATCATCATTAATCTTATTATTATAATAATTATAAGTGTTATTTATATGAAGTTTTAAAAACATCCTGTCAATAACTGACGTCACAAATATGGTTTTATATTCTATAACTTGAACTCTTGATCATTATAACATTTTGTTTTATGAATCCAAGTTATGAAGTTATTGGTTATTTCATTCGTTTGTGCAGGTAAAAACTAAATTAACTGCTTATAATTAATTAAACAAAGACAGTATTTAAGAGTTATTTCAGAAATA